ACCCAACTCCTGTTATTACTCTAAAGAGTAGTTTGCATCTTACCACATCATCTGGCTACCTACATACAAGACAAGCGGTTGCTCGCTCTTGTCTTCGAATGTGTCTGGCATAATTGCATCTACTTTTTTTCACCTCCCCTGCACAAGTGTTGGAGGGCTCCTTCACACCAATTGGCACCAGACAGAGTCGACTTGGATGCCACGCAAAGATCATCTTTTGCCCTCACTATCCACAACAACTGTGGTTTTGATGAATGGTCCAATGTTGAAATGGTAGTCCAAGAAGGATGCAAACCAAACCTCTTCCACATGGTGTAGGGGTCCTTTTGGGTAAAAGTAGTCTCCATGGTGCAATACAGCCAAGAGTATGTAATATGCCAACTTTTTGATGGTGTGGAGTTTAGATCCAGGATGTTCCCTCTACCATTGCACAAATTCATAACTTGTGTAAGAGTAAAACCCCAGCATTTTCTTGCTCGATTTATCTGGGTTACCAATGTTAAAAAGAGCTCAGGTCGTGTCGTCTTTTTTTCCTTGTACTTGTTTTGTGTGGTGTGAATTCTCATTCGAAAAGAGGTTTGATGTATGGATGAATGTTGTGTGTCAAAGGGCATTGTGAATGTGTGTTCTGCCCCTTCTTATGATGGTTATTGTTGTATTTCTGTTTATTATGTGTATGCTCTCTAAACAATGAGAGATACTCGGCACATCAAACTGGTCAATGGATGTATAAGCAGAGCTGGATCTTGTGCACAGATAAGAAATCCAAGCTTGGTTATAGACGCCTGCCTATACATGGGTTGTTGCATCACCATGTCGCTGATTTGCCCTTCCTCGACTCACGAGTGTGAAACGTGGTGATTGAGGGAAACAAATCAAGAACAAGAACATGAAGCATTTCTGAGTTGAGAACTCGTAGCCCCACAACAACTTTACATGTTGTACATTTTTACAATTCGATTGGATCAAAACCATGGCTGCACTGGGAATTGGTCTTACTATTCGATGACCCTGGTGGTGTATTCCACTGGGTCAGAGGTTTGCCCTCGCCATTGAAGAAGACATGTTTTTGACAAAACAATTCTTCATGTTTGCGCCGGAAGATCAGTTGTTTTATAATCTTGTCTTCGTTTAAGTGGTCCATGGGGTTCTCATCTTGTTTGCTTTATTGAAGCTTGTTTTTTGCGAGCATGGAGGTGTCTGTCCTTGTGGCGTTTCCCTTGTTTTTGGAGTTTGAATGTGCTTTGGAGAGTTGTTTTAAGATCTTGTTGATCAAAACCTGTTGCTGTGACTTATTGTGAGAATGAAATTCACACACCATTTTTTACCTCCCGGCTCTGTTGGCTCGAACGATCTGGAATTTGCTGTACTCATTGAGATGCAGTCCTTTCACATCGTTTAGTAGTTATTCAGTGTCGCAAGGTTGTAAATTGGTGCTAATCCCTATACTCCATAGTGAGACAATTAAACAAATTACCTTCCAATTTACAGTGGGATCAATTAACGATTGCATTTTAAGGTGGCCGGGCGCTCAATATGTTGATTGGATTGGGTATGTGTGAAGAATTCCGCCCTCTTCAAAAAAAAAAGTCCAATTTAACAAAATCAAAAGTCAGAACATCTCTCTACTACTTTGGGCCACAGTGCCTGAAATGCCCTGGCAACCCGTACTACGGAGTGTTGATTTATTGATGCAAGATTTCTTGTGTTTTTTTTGGTAAATATACGAGACTAAAAAAATTGCTACAGGTGACCATTCTATTCGAAGCCACCACGAGTACCACCACCCAATCCTTTAGCTGCAGACTGCTGAGTCTTGCGCTGCTGTTCAAGTTTGGGACCTAATGAAAAGATTTGAGTTAAACACAAATACGATACTAAACACAGGTTTCACGAATTAGCTTACAGTTGGAAATACGATGACCCAAACCACCACAATATGTACACTCTACATCAGCACCGGCAACACCTTTAAATGCTTCAGTAGGATCTTCGAGTGCTTCTAGGACAGGAGGCACACGTTGTTTGGCTTCTCTAAGCAAGTGTTTCAAATCCAACAGAATCTGTTCTGAACAGTTTCGATTGATGAAGGTTGTAGCGACACCAGTCTTTCCTGATCGACCAGTACGACCAATTCTATGGACTGTGGAATTGATGCGAGTCAGTTCCAAAGTGCAAGAAAAAATTGCATGAACGTGAAAGAAATATTCGTGAACTCAAGAGCTTTTGCGGTGATGATGATACATACCATAGTCTTCGATTTCCTTGGGCATATCATAATTGATGACATGTTGAATACCAGCAAAATCTAATCCTTTGCTAGCCACATCGGTAGCTACAAGAACATCGGCTTTCCCTTCTTTGAAAACCTTGACTCCATAATTTCTCTGTTCTTGGTCTATTGAATGGATGCGTGTTAAGTTTCTAGAGCCATTAAATCTGCGTCCAAATGACTATTAAATATGACGTCTCATGACGAGTTACCTTTGCCACCATGAATAGCGACTGCATCAATACCCTTGAGCAACAGGTACTCATGAATGTCGTCCACATCGTTCTTGTTTTCAGCAAAAATCAAGACCTACAAGGATTGTATATTAGCAAAATATTACGCAGAAAAAAAGTCGCTCAACATTATTTGGACAACGTACCGGAGGTGGGGTCTTTTGCAGACACTCTAGCAAGTACAGCATTTTGGCTTCTTGCTTTACATACTCAACTTCTTGAATGACATCCAAACTGGCAGCACCAGCACGCCCCACATTGACAACGACTGGCTTGACAAGTGCAGACTTGGCAAAGTTTTGAATCTTTTTGGGCATGGTGGCTGAGAATAACAAGGTTTGTCTTTGAGCCTGTTGGTTGAAAATTGAGTTCAGCGAACATGCCAAAAAAAAAACTACACCAACTCATACGATGTTTCAACAAACCTTGAAGTAGGACATGATGTTCCTGACGTCATCTTCAAATCCCATATCAATCATACGATCTGCTTCATCCATGGCAAGAAAGATACATGAATCGAGATTTATTTTGCCCTTTTCTAGCAGGTCTTGTAGACGACCTGGTGTAGCAACCACGATATGTGGACCTCTATGGTAAAGGTATCCAGTGAGTGCGAAGTTATGAAAATCACCAATAAGCATGTTTCTTACTTTCTCAATACGTCCGACTGTTCTCGAAGATCAACACCACCCATTGCCAATAAGGTGCGAATTCTTGGATATTTCCCATTCTGAGACAGGGCTTCAGCCATGCCTTCAATTACATCAAACGTTTGTTTTGCCAATTCACGCTAATAAAGCAAAAAATAAGCATGTCATGAAGACCACGACATCCGTCAACCACAATGCACTTTCATAACATACCGATGGCGATATAAGTAATCCAGCAGGACCTTCTCCTTGTACAAACGGCAGCTTGATTTCGAGTTCGAGAGCAAATAGGACGATGGGCAAAGTGAAGACTAGAGTCTTTCCTGAACCTGTGAATGCTACACCAATCATGTCACGACCAGACAATACGGTAGGTATGCCTTGGACCTGTATTGGAGTTGGACTGGCGATTCCTTTTGACTTTAGATATCGTATCAATGCATCAGGCAGTTTCATTTCCTATGGACAAAACGAAACAGTTGGTCCATAGTGACTTGAGTGTTGCATTATACACCACCATACAAGCTTACAGTGAATGACTTTATGGGCGGCGGTATATTGTCACCTTCAGCGATAATATGCCATTTCTTACGCAACTCTTCTCGTTCTCTCTCCGTGGTGTGAGATATATAAGACGGAGGAGTCCAAGAAGTCTTCATTGGTTTTTCATAGACGATACCCTGAGCGAGTTCCTTGTCCGAAAAGAGCTGTTTCTTTCTAGTCTGAGCAGCCAAGATTTGCTCCTCCTCTTCAATCTTTAACTCCATTTCCGTCTTTTGGTGTTGGCCCTCCTGCTGTTTTCTCAATTCGGCAGCCTGGTCGATGAGAGATACATTTGTACGTGCTTGAGCGGGTTTGTCGGTATCATTGTCGTCGTCCTGGTCGTTTCGTTGGTGGTGGTCATCGTCATCTTCGTCGGGATTAGTAGCAGATCGTTTGGTTGAGCTAATGTGTGAAGCAAACTTGGCAGCTTTTGCTTCTCGACGCTGCTTTAAGGGGACATATGGTACGTATTCCTGAGGACTTTGAGTTTCCTCTTGCTTGACATCATCCTCATCATCACGCTAGGTGGGTTTGAATGTCAATATCTTGAACACAATGAATTCGATGATTTGATGAACTTACAGGCCGTTTTCGTCTCTCTTCCATATCAAGCTAACGTGCCAGGTAAATAGCAATTATACAGGTGCTCTGCTTTGCTTTATAACTCTTTTGATTAACCCTCTGTCTCGTCCGTAGCAAAATGGTGTTGAGAAGTGATTTTATTGCTGTCCTGAACCGGATTGCTCCAAGACTGCTAATGCATCCTGAACGATCACGATTAGGCATGTATCTCTATGCTGATCGCGACGTGATTTTCACTCTGATGCGCGACATTTGTGAAAGATAAAACACACACATTCAAGCTCATGACTAACGACTCTATTCTACCCTTGACTTAGCTCTAGTCATCACTGAATCACCATTAAGTCTCCTATTAGCTCGTCTCATGGCTGAATCCGTGCCAAAACAACAACTAATAGCTCTATGTCACAATCACCACTCGAAATACCTGAACGATCTACAAGCTCTCGGTAAACGCAGTTGCTGAATTTCTTTATTGCATATCAACTGACACTTGTCATGCATTACAGGTCTGGAAACTGTACACGTCACGCCACGTACCCCATCAGAAATCTCATCAGTGATAAATCCACCACAATTCCCATCAAAGTCTGTTGAGTTGATGGCGTCTTTGCTTTTCGAGGCACGTAATCATCAAGCTAGCAATATGTTCTTGCCGATATGTATGGACAATGTACTCTCGACGCATCTTATGCCGGCTCTATGGAGACCAGCACATATAAAGGGTGTTCTCGCTTCATTGAATATGGGGATAGCCTCGCCATTACTTCCTTTTAGTCAAGATCAGCTGGAAAATGTATATGATCTTGGTGCAAATCAGGTTGAGGAATTGGGCGTCGAGAGTGGTCTTGAGCAAGCAGTTTCACGTTTTGAGGGCAGGTACGTGAGTTGATGGTGTATTAAACATTCGATTGGACAATACTTATAAGTTTCAGTTTAGATGGGAACCTATGCCTCAACGCATCAGAGAAATGCTAACAGACTGTGCTCGCTTCTTCCCATCGCTGGGATATGCGACCTTATCAACTAATCTCATTCATGATAATGCAACAGTGACACGAGCTCTGTCACATGTAATACGGTGGATTGGTGGGTCTGCAACTTCTAGTCTGTCCGAATTACCTGTTGCAATCTATGAACTAGTCAACCATATATCTACACCGCCAGTTTCCAAATGGACTAGTATACCGATCGGTGATACTGCTGCTTTTCACTTGTCTCCAACAATCCCTCATACATGTATAGTGACGTTGACGAGGGCGCCAGACCATGCGGTAGTATTAGAAATCGGCCAAACTGTATGGTGGGACAACCGATATTACATCCGACTACTACCACCGCCAGAGTCTCTAGCCGCTCACAGTGTAGGATTAGGATCGTCTCAGGCCGTACTCGGCCTACCAATCCCCTGTAAATTTGTAGTTAGGCCGTTAACTTCCAAGGACGTGTATAAATGCCTGCACTCGTATCTTCCCCGATTACGTGGATTTGAAGCTCAGACGTATATAAAGCAGCTACTACACCATCTCTTATATGAACTGCCTCCACCTCTGTTTGAGACGCTGCCGTGTGTTGCTCTCAAGTATCAGAATAGTGATCAGGACTATTTAGTTTGTATTCCTGGGCTCGATATTAATTTTGAGCCGGGGCTTGTACAGGTGCATATGACGCATGCTAATCGTATACCTACTGCTGCTTGGCCGATACCTGTAACTGCATGTAAATATTTAGACAAACATTGACATTGATATTTAAGTGGATTCTATAAGGTCCTTTTTTGTCCACGTTAGAAAAAGGTGAACTCGAAGGGCACGAAAATCTTAAGTGAAAACTGCACTACATCAAATTCATGTCAGTATTAATGTTATAAAAGACACCGCTACGTACAATCCAAACATCCACATCCTCCAACACAACCATCCTATTTCTTTCCCTCTTGAAAACGGTTCCAAGACACCGCAACACCCTGCTCAACAGAATAAAACGGCCTATATCCCAAAACCTTCCGTGCTGGTTGATACGAAAAGCAATGCTGACTCCATTTCATACAATCACTGCAAGCCGTAAACATGTCCAAGTCGCCCAGAGTCGTAGACGTGTATCCAGATGTGAAGGTAGCGATCCTGCTGAAGACGTACATGAGAGGGTATGGCATGGTTTCACGTGTGAATCTGTTTGGCAACAGTTTCTACAGAAAGGGCAGGAGTTAGGATCTGGAAGGGACCAGGCTTTATGAAGAGTTCTTACTTCAAGAATACAAAAGAAGTTTTCTCGGCTGAGCGGATCGTCGTGAGAGATAAAGTAGGCTACAATTCGGGAGGAGGCCACAAAGTCAGAAGGCCGATCATATACATTGGCGAATGTTGCGTCTCACCTTTTCCACCAGATTCATTTGGCTTTTCTTGTAATGCGCCTTCCAATGTACACAAGAATTAGGTCAAGTTAAAGCTCAAACGTAAATACAACAGAATCTTGTTTGAAAGCCTTCCAGCAAGTGATCCATCGTAAGATTCGCAACATAACAAAAGTCGTCCACGACTCCAGGATGGGGTATTGTTAATTTTCCAGTAGTAAAGTATGTATCAAGGCCCCAACGATCTCCTATTCCATAGATCGTCGAAGTTGGGCGGATGCTACCGGTGGCGAGGACTCCTCCCTTCTTTAGGGCTGTTCAGTTTGCAGCGAACGTAGCCTGTGTTACAGGAAAATGAGATCCAGTAACCCGAATTGCGATGCAACATAGGGTCAATACTATACCTGTTCGGCCAATGCTTTGGTTTTAGCATAACTGTTGAATGGTTTCGTGGCGTATGGCAGATTCCTGCAGACAGATAAAGGAATAAAAGATCATGAGCACAAGAGTACAAAGGAAAAACATGCAATGTCTCATACAACATACTCATTTTCATAGAAGACCGGATTCAAATCCTTTCCAACACAGACATACGAAGTGGATGTTTGTACCAATGTAGGTATAGACAATTCACGGCATGCTTCAATAACGTTCTCTGTCCCCTTCACATTAACCGTCATCGACACGGGCAACTGCTCCGGAAACTCATCCATGAAGCGACTGACGGCCGCTACATGATAGATGATCTGAATAGAGCGGTTATCGAGTGCCTTCCTGACTAATACGTAATCGATAATGTCGCACTCCACAATAGTCACGGCGAATAGAGATTTGTTGTAGAGATGCAAGCGCAGAGCTGTTGCAGTCGTAGCAGCACCAATTCCAAGAGCTATATACTTTAGCGAAGAGTAATCCATGATATTCGTAGCGGTTTGTTTGGTTCGTTGGGCTTCAAGGTCTGCACAGTTTTGGGCAAGACCTCCTTCTAGAGTGCAGGAAATCAGTTAAACTTTGAAATGAACGAACTTCAATAAGCTGTGAACGAAAAGACATTACATTGTTTGTTTGGTGCCTACACGGAGTCGCTTGTCGCGTGGTAATTTGACTAATTTGTAGGTTCTGTCGAATCATCCAAACAAGTTCAGTGGACTGAACTACCACGTCGCGTAAAAGTAAAAGAGCAATTACGCGTCATTTCACGATTATATGACATGTGTTGCCTTACTGATGGTTGACCGGTATCTAGATTGCTGGTATATTTGACTTTCAAGTTAAAACAAATGGTGTGACGGTTTTGGACAGACGACAAGGACGCGTTGAAGGTATTTCGATGAATGTATTTGAATTGTACAATATCGCTGCATGATATGATGTCATTCTCTCGCTCTTGTCCCGTTAGAAGTCTTGTGCTGTCCAACCAACTCTTGTGGCAGTGAGAAGCCTCGCATCGGACACTAGGAGCAATGTCCTCTTACTGGAAGGCTCCTGTCGCATCGGCGATAAAGTCATTTTTGGCTGTCATTCCTACAGAAACTCCAGCCGAACGCATCAGAAACCAATTGATTCTGGTCGCTGTCATCCTCCTCGTCATCATTGTTATTTTCATTTCAGCTCTCCGCAATGTCTATCGATTCTTGACTAATGATCCGAGAAAGTCAAAGGGACCATCATTCTTGTTTGGTGTTGTGGTGCCGTCAGTCTTGCCAGTGTTGCTATACACAGTTCTCACAGACTCGCTCTCTTACATGAATGACTCGGGCAAGTACCTCGAATTGTGTTCAACGACTCAATGCTGACTGTATTGCTTTATAGATATGAACAGAGTGTTGCCATACTCGTATCGTCCGTCACAGGAAGCTCTCGAGCTTCATAATAGGCTACCATTCATCGCAGATCTACATGCCGATACGTTATTATGGACACATCGACAGTCTATGCTCAATCCTGAAGTCAAACTAGGCCATATCGATATGCAGCGGCTCATTGACGGAAATGTTGCATTGCAGGTGTTTTCTTCAGTGACACTGAGTCCTGCTGAACTCAACATGTATCGTAATAGGTCAGACTATGTCTTTATTAATAGCATGAATCATATAGAAGACTTATACTTCTGATCCGTAGCAACGCAACTGATACAATCCGAACACTCGGAATAGTACAACGCTGGCCAATGAAAGCCATCTTTGGACACTCTGCACGCATGGAACGTGTGGCGTTATTTGCATCGGCATTAGATAAAATGCAAGAAAAATCCATCATAGATGGCTCTCATGGGATTTTCGTGTTTGTCAAATCCAGGACAGACTTTGACCGACTCCTGTCTCTGCGCCAACAGTTTGGATCTAAAGTGGTGGGAGGCTTGCTTTCTATCGAAGGCAGTAACATGTGCCATCCGATATGGATTACTGCTGAAGAATGTGCAAATCGGTTGTGGTCTCTTGGGGTTCGAATGGTTGCAATGACGCATTTTGTTGATAATGCTGTCGGCTCTAGTGCAACAGGTACGAAATTTAAGAAAAACTTTAAGAAAAACTCAGCAGATCAATCAAGAAACTGATCCTTTGGTCAAACTAGGCGAGTCAGACTATGGATTGACTAGTTATGGAGAAGACTACGTGAAAAGGTTGGCAATTCTTTCATATTCCTTGTGTCCAATCTATTGAATCTAATTAGATTTCAAAAGGCTGCTCGAACTCGGCATGATGATTGATATGGCTCATACAAGTGTCAAAACAATCGATAATGTCATTGCTCTATATGACGAGCATGTAAAGACTACTGGAAGAAAGGTCTTGCTAGTGGTTTCACATAGTAAGCAAGTGTCCTTTGAATGGATGTGGTTTTTGCTCAACTGAAAACCATCTTTAGCTGGTCTTAAGAGTGCTTGCTTCCACAATCGAAACCTGGAAGATCGTCATGCGAAAGCACTAGCCCAACGTGGTGGAATTATTGGTGTTGTAAGTGCATTGAAATCTATTTCTTTGCTACCAAAAACGCCTCCTCGAACATTCCTCTATGTTTAGGCCTTTTTCCCTGAAGCTGTTTGTGGTAATAATCTGACCGACATCATCAAGAGTTATAAAGTTGCAGTGGACTTGACATCTACGAATAATGTTGTTTTGGGCTCAGACTATGATGGTGCGGTGAGTGTACCTTTCGATGTGTCAGATTTGGCATACATGACACAAGGGCTGCTAGCTGAAGGGTTTTCAGAGAGTGAAATCCAAAAGATTATGGGTGAGACGGTTCAGACGAAATTTATGGAGTATTTGCCATTGTGAGAAGGGAATGGTATATCTGAATAAAGAGTTATTGTATTTATCCTGATGGATCATGCTATGTTGCGCAAGGAATTCCACTTCAAACCTAGAAAATTCACGTAGTATATCTTGGACACTGGACACTACACCTTGGAATGCTCGTCGCCGATGAGCAGGCAGCTTGACAGGATGCAAAGTTGGTCGAGTTTCATATACTTAAATCAAGAAAGTCGATGATCTGTAAATATATGCGATGCGGTGTGTTTTATATACATGAGCTCTAGATTGAAATAAGAGATCTGGAATCTACTACTCTCCCTCTGTCTAGTTGTTTTTTCAAAGAGCAAGCAAAAAGAGACTACAAGAAAAGGACCTTACGCTTTAAGAACACGTCGCCATAGTAGAAGCGCCTACATCTGTGTTGCTACTGTTTATAATTAGTTGGCTTCAATATTCGTTCTTGTCGTCCACATTCATTGGCTGCCAGCACATTGAACTTACTCTTGTCTTGCTCCTGTTAACATCTAGGGTCGATTAATTTGCCATTGTTATCATCTTGGTCTCATCTCTCGCTCGTCATCGGTGCCAAAGAAGTCCAGCATCATTCAACATCAACATATCCCAACATCATCACTCATACCGTCGTCACTCATCCAAACCCATAAACCCGTATTATAATAATGCAACTTCCGAATTAGCTCTGGTTGTCCGTTCTCTCAAAGCTGCCGACAAAGGATTTGTATAGCATGGCATCGGTATCGAAGTGTTTGAAGGCGCTCGCAGGTGTGAAGCTATACAAAGATCCAGATTGGACAATTGCTGGACTCGGATCTTGTATGAGGTGTATTCTCATGCGAGGCCCTGTCGCCGGAATGCACCAACAAGATTCCTTACAATATGTCAGGAACGCAAACTTGTGTGATTTTGTTTCAAAGGGCGATCAGGAGGGAGGGTAAGTCAAGGAAAAGCGTTTGCACTTGATGCCCGTTTCAGTAAACCGGACCTGCTGCTTCTCATAGTTCCGTCCTAGACAACTTGTGTAATGTCCTAGTAACGCTACCATTATGACCTCTGGAGCTGCTATGCTGTATCAAGCCACATAGGTGGCTTCTCCTACACGACCTGGTGTCATGGTCGCCACTGCTGGATCTGGACATTCGTTCAAGTTTACGCTTGTCTTGGGAGATGTCATAGCTGATATATTTGAAAAGAATGCAGCGTCTGCCGTGTATGGAGATGTATTTAGATGGAGGACTGCGAAGAAGGCTGGAGTAGAGCTTCAGGGAGAGGAAGGGCGTGTTGTGAAAGCTGCTCGCGGACGAGAAGAACTTCAAGCTCATCGAATGGCGCATCGTGACGAGCTTTTAGCTGGTAAATTATAAATGAAGGAGTGCATGTAATAGCTCATAGTAGTTTCATATAGATCTCGAAATTGCATGATTTCTCGCGTTTTCTTTGAAGCTTCGTAAGCTTCGTTTCATTATAGATTCCATATACTAACTATGCCTATAATCGCATCTCGACACGCTGAAGAACAACTGTTGTTGGGAACTACAAACCTCTGCGCAAAAAGATCAAACATTTGAAGGCAAACTGAAGTTGAAGAAAAAGCTTATTGAGCAGGTAAGTTCCAACAATTGTAATGATGTATAACGAAGTATAGCGTCTTATCTGCATTTTAAACTAGACCTTGGCTGCAAAGGAACGATACAAATGTCAAGTAGTCAACGGAGGGCTGCCAAAACTCCTGGAAAGATAAGGCCGGTCAAGAAAAGTGTACGCTTCAGCTCTATCAATCTATGAGAGAACCCGTTTGTTCCATTTGAAGTACATCTTTGTTGTGTTTACTGCATCAAAAAACTTGTCTACAAGTTGATGTAAAAGCTGAGAGATTGGAGGCCCGAGGAGGCATATTGTATTCGTCAAGACTTGATGAATCATGTTACTTAATGTTGCTTCCGAAGCTGATTACCCTGGCGCTTTGTTGGTACTCACACAACCCTTGTTCGGTTGACAGGATAGCCAGTTTGATGAAACTTGGGGGAAACTCTCTGCAGCTATTGGTGAAATATACCACAAGAATGCCAGTACTCTGAGTTTTGAAGAAATATATCGGTCGGTGCAAAAAAAGAAGGGTGTGAATGTGTTATATGAGTGCTGAGCTAACTCGTTACTACTCGACATACAGCAATGCATACAACATGGTCCTCAACAAGCACGGCGACAGACTATACAATGGCGTACGAGACGTCATCTCCAAACACCTCGACGATGCAGTCGCAGAAGATATAGTTGATCTCTTTGAACGCAGAGACGACTTTCTCCGTGAAATCAGACTGGTCTGGTCAGATCACACAACATGCATGCTCATGATTCGTGATATCCTAATGTACATGGATCGTGTTTATGTGAAAACTGCTGGTCTACCAATCGTTTACGACATGGGATTGGACTTGTTTCGTGAGCGGGTCGTGAGATCCCCGAAACATGATATCAAGGGACATTTAAAGGACACATTGCTGCGTGAGATTGAGAGAGAGCGTGGTGGTGAAGCTATTGATAGGCAGGTTGTAAAGAGTATTGTGGAGATGATGTTGACGCTGCCTTCGTCGCTTGGTAATTCCAAGGATTATGAACCGTCGTTTTTTTGCACGATGAGCTCATCAGCTCTTGCTTTACAATCGCTTTTAGAGAAGAGGAACGCAGCAGGAGATTTGATCAAGACAGAAGGCAGTACAGTCTACCATGCTGATTTTGAGCCCGCCTTCTTGGAAGCAAGTGCTACATTCTACAAAACGGAGTCAGATCGGTATTTGGAACATTCAGATGCTACAGCATACCTGAAACAGGTATGTTCCGGGATTGATTGTCTGTGCGTAGTGTTTATTTTTCTTTGAATTTCGTGCAAACTAACAACAATGTAAACGTTCAGGTTGAAAGGAGGTTGCGAGAGGAAGAAGAGAGAACAAAACACTACCTTGCTTCAGGAACCGAGCCACATATACGAGCAGTTGTGGAGCAACAGACACTTCAGAATCATGTCAAGACTATTATTGAGGTTTGGACGATTTTGTTCTTGCTTTTTTTGCCGATGCTAGTCGACTTACAGAAGGTCCTTGTTAGATGGAAGGATCTGGACTAGTATCCATGCTTGAATACGACAAACATCCAGATCTCTCACGAATGTACAAACTATTTTCACGAATATCCAATGGTCACCCGTCAATGAAAAAGGCCGTCGCCAATCACTTGCTAGCCTTGGGCAAGAACTTGAATGAAACGCTAGGAGGTCTCCCCTCTACCATCAGTAATCCCACCACCACAACGATACCCACAGAACCACTTCCTGGCCCATCAGCATCGTCATCCGCGGACGTAGTAAAAGCCACAACCTCAAACCAAGACGATAATGGTGCAACCAATATGGACGAAGATGGTGCAGAAACTGCTGCTGCCGCTTCTTCATCAAATGTAAATGGGGGTCCAACCCCACTGAAATGGGTGGAAGCTATTCTGGCACTCAAGGACAAGTTTGACGCTACTTTAGAAATTGCATTTGGTAAAGACAAGTCCTTCCAGACTGATATAAACTCAGCCTTGGAAGTGGTTATAAATCGTAATAATAAGAGTCCAGAGTTTGTTAGTTTGTTTATTGATGAGAATTTGAGGAAGGGATTGAAAGGGGTGAGTTGCGATTGTGTTCATTCCCTCATCTTTGTGCTTTTCGGCGCTTACTTTTTCAGCACTTTACTTCTAAGATAAAGTTGCTCACATCTCTCATATTATAGAAATCTGAAGAAGAAACTGAAGTCGTTCTGGACAAGACCATCACCATATTCCGATTTATACACGAAAAGGACGTATTCGAACGTTACTATAAACAGCACTTGGCCAAACGATTACTATTTGGACGATCTGTATCAGATGATGTAGAAAAGTCAATGATTGCCAAGCTCAAGGTCGAATGTGGTTATCAATTCACCACCAAGCTGGAAGGCATGTTCCAGGACATGCGAATGTCTTCAGATACCCAAACGGATTTCCGACACTACATGTCTCAACTAGCAAACGCACCATCATCCATGTTTGAATTATCCGCATCTATCTTAACATCGACATTTTGGCCTATATCATCCACCATATCATCATGTGTATACCCGACAGAAGTGCAAGCCATTGTCGAGAATTTCCAAAGGTTTTACTATGGTAGACATTCAGGTCGTCGATTGACTTGGTTGCCACATCTCGGAACTGCTGATTTGAGGGCACAGTTTGAAAAGGGTAAAAAGGAACTCAACTTGTCGACACATGGGATGGTTGTGCTTGTTGGTGTATTTAATCGGGTGTCTGATAATGAGTGGGTAACGTATCAGCGTATAGCAGATGAAACGCAGATACCGGATGTGGATTTGAAGAGGTGCTTGCAGAGTTTGTCGTTGGCCAAGTATAAAATATTGCTGAAGAAGGCTAAAGGACGTGAAGTTGGTCCTGGTGATGAGTTCCAGGTGCGACGATTAACGATAGTGTACTTTTTCCTCGTTTGTTTGGTTTGCAGCCTACGCAAAATAACATGAGGTTACTGCTTATGTATCGGAGGAATTAAACTCATACCATGTTCACTCTCGATTAGGTCAACATCAAATTCACCCATCAACTCCAAAAAATCAAAATCTTGACCATTGCATCCTCAAATGCTGGTACGAATGCGAATCAAATGGAATCAGAAGCAGAACGAGCCGAGACGGTTGCCAAAGTAGATGAAGAACGCAAACATATGCTTGAAGCAGCCATTGTACGAGTCATGAAGGCACGTAAAAAGATGGTACATAATGACTTGGTGATTGAAGTCACCAAACAATTGACTGGTCGATTTGCACCTACTCCTCCTATGGTCAAGAAACGTATTGAGGGATTGATTGAACGGGAATATTTGGAGAGGGATAAGACTGATAGGTATGGCGCCTGTATATATGCGGTGTTTTTTTGCTATGATCTAATTCATTTGTGTTTAGGAAACTGTACGTTTATCAAGCATAAATGCTGTAATGGATCTTAAGGAGGGCCTCGTGTTCTTGTATTTTGTAGAATAAACGGAAAAGGAGTTGCTCAGCATATTGCTTGGCATGGCACAGGTTGTCGTCCTCGGGGTCCAGGGGGGGGGGGGGGGGGTTGTCTGATGAGCTTCATCTTTCTTTTGGCGTACATTTTCAGTGCTCGCCTCTCAACAGGACACATGAGTCCATGAAAGCTTGAATGGGCGGGATGGTGGGAATGAGAGCAAGCTGGACCTCCCTTGAAACGGAACGAGTAGGCGACGCAGATTGACACCATCTTACTACCTTTTTGTGCGCTATTTATTTTCAACAAATAATGAAGGTGCATTTTGTACTCCAATGATTTACAGAAAGATTTGCAAGTTCTCTTCATCCTCTGTATTCAGAGAAAACCGAAACGAAACTGGATTCAATGTTCTGGTTGTGTTGTTTTAAAAAATACAGCAGAATAACGGGCCTAAACTTGAAGAAGCAGGGCGTGATTAGACGAAGGAGACATGTCGTGATTACGCCTCTTCGAGTCCTTTCGACCTTTTTTGCATCTCTACAGAATTTCTCAAAATTCAAACGCACACGCGATCAATTACAACTATGGCAGTTTCTGCATAGTCTCACGTAGCGAAATCACCCTGCCATGGCTGTTGCAGTCAATGCAACCGCCGATAAAGCGCAATGCTACTTCCCAGATTCAGCAAACCTAGTTCCTGGAACAACTGGTTACTTTGTCATGTACTTTGGCTGGACGATCTGTATTATTCTGGCCATACTCAGTACGATTTTTACAACCAAATTGGTGGTATGTTGATATATGATATCCTTGATTTGGGTTGTGATGCATGTCGTTTTCGCTTGGCATTTGGATGTTTGGATCAAGATGTTTATTGGTTTGAAGGACAGTAGAGAGATGATGATATCCTGATTCGCCCATTTTATTTTTCACTAGTACAAGCATTTCCAGCATTATAATGCACCTGAAGTTCAACGCCATATCGTTCGAATTCTGATGTGAGTGATGGAAGACGAGAAGCAAAAAAAGAGTTGCGGTCGTGCGTTAGTGCAAATCTGCATTGATCCATGCCGTATACATGATCTGGATGGGATTCAAGTCCGAGATCTATCATTTCCATTAAAAGATCTATTTGATCAAAGGAGTGATCTGGCAGAATGCATATGTCTCTCCCTTCCATTGCAAGCACTCTTCGACCAAAAAATCGAAAGCTTGATATTCTAAATCCTTCCCTTTTACATAGGATGGTACCGATCTACTCAATCGTAAGCACATTCCAGTTTCGATGGTTTAATCTCGCTACGGTGTATGAATTGGCTTCGAGTATCTATGAGGCGTTTGTAGTCTGGAGGTGATTGATCGTTTGAGTTCATGCACTTGTCAGCTTGGACAATGCCCCCTTGTTACTTATACTTTTTGTTCCTTACAGTTTCTTCTCATTAATGCTTATATACGTTGGAGACGATGCAAAAGAACAACACGAAGCTTTATCCAAGATGCCAGATCATGCGTGTATGATTCCCCTAAACTGGATTTGGAGGAAAAAGTTCAGCCCGAGAGGACGAACATTCTTCATTGTGTCGAGACTGGGAGTGTTGCAATATGTTGTTGTCAAGTAAGGATAAACAAGCATCGCTGTTGTTCTGAAGTAGGTGATTGATGTTCTTTCTCGTTACTAGGCCCTTGACGAACATACTTGGCATTGTGCTGGAATATTATGATTTGTTGTGTCCTCAGTCATTTGCTATATACCATGGTGAATTCTGGGTTTCGGGATTGGCAATGATTTCAGTTTCAATCGCTATGGTATGTGTATGAGAAAAAACGGTCCTCATCATCTCGTGCAAAGCGAAGTACTCAGGTTTTAGCCAACTTTGTGTCTTCTAACAACACAGCTATTACTCTAGTATATCCTTCTCACATTCTACTTTGTGGTTCATGAGGAAATCCAAAAACACAATCCATTGCAAAAGGTATGTTTCTCAGAATATTCAGATACTTTTTTCGTTTCTTTTTGCGCTTGTCTTGTGTGAGGATAACATTCTGCGCATCTCTTATTGGCGAGTAATAAGGGGCTCTCTGCTTTATTCAATACACCTCACACGTGTTTCATTCAAAACAGCTCTTGGCAGTCAAGTTTGTTGTCTTCCTGAGCTTTTGGCAAAACATCATATTGGGATTCCTGGCCGGCTCTAATTTATTACCGTCCTTCCCACCATGGACACCTGGTGGACTTGCTGCTAGTCTTCAGTCGCTACTGTTGTGTATTGAGATGGTAACGGCCAAAAAGAAACATATATATATAGCTGTGGAGTAGTGGAAGACTTCACTCACATTTCTTCCTCTCTTCTAGTTTATTGCTGCTGTATGGCATCAATGGGCATTCGCATGGCAAGAATTCCTCACAAACCAACACCCGTTGCCTACACCTGTATGGAAGGGATTCTACGACTCTTTGCTCTTCCGAGATGTAGTATTTGATGTCGCTCGAATGCCTAAAGAAGTCAAGGAACATCGACAATACAAGGTGCAAAAAGTAGCTGGAAAGGCAGTGAATGAGTTGTATGATAATTACATGTCTACGAGTGACGGTGTTGGTACTAGTAGTGGGAACGATGACGAGATCACAATTGTAGCAGCACCTTTGCCAACTGCTCAACCTGATGTGAAGGGTAAAGGACCATTGGTTGCGACGATTATGAAGACACGTCAGGTATAATTCAAACACATCTCTGCTTTCTACTTGCGCACCTATCTTTTCCATTTTATTTTAGGAGAGCGGAGGCTGGTTGGGATCAGGCTGGTATCCTCCAACAGCTGCCGATAAAGAGATTTCGTTGGAAGAAGTAGAGATTGAAGACTCGAAAATGCACTTCGAACGAGGACACGAAGGGCTAGATGTTGACCAATGGAGTGAATCAGAAGTTGATGTGCGGCATCACGTCTTTATTGAAGATTCATTTAAACGTCGCAAGAGTCTCCCAATACCTCCAGTCGCTGCTGGTACAGCCCAACCACTAAATAGTAGTACCAATCTGACTACCAGTGGTGTTGATCAACCCCCTCGCCTTCCCACCAAAGTATATGATACGCCACCATCGGCACCCACTAGTAGTAATAAGCCACCATTGAAAGGTATCCTCGTGTCAGCTCCAACTAAACGACCATCACTATCAGAAACCCAACCTGAAATGCGGCAGTCGACTGCTACCGATATTTATATGCTGATGGGACCGATGACGTCTGAGCCAAAGGCCGAAGTAGAAGAAGAAGTAAATGTAGAAGAAAAGCCAGCTGAACCGGTTGAGAATGTGCCGAATAATGTTGGATGGGTAGATGGTGATGCAGCAGTACCAGCACCTGTTGTGTCAACAATTAGAAGAGGATCGGCTCCAAAGAAGTTGCCAGATATCCCTGTTACTGTAGCTCATCAATTCCCAGCTAGATCTGAATCTCTGAATGTAAATAATCAAGATTATTGAAAGGGTTGTGGTCGTGTAGATAGCTTGTAGGATGATGTAACATATTTCCAATTTTATATGATTTAATTATCTACGTCGATAAGGTTGGAAAACGCGGAAATGAGGCATCATCATGATCTGCATGATAGTCAAACTTGATGGTTGTGTAACGGAAATTCCAGAACTTCGACGACAAGAGATTAATATCACGTGTAGAACAAGTAGCAACATGAACGGTGAACCGGATACTGCTAACTTGTCTGAAGTCTTGCGTAAGTCTCAATCCGCCTTCTCTGGTGCTTAACTCCTCGATTCGTCTGTCTGCTCACAATCTCTTGCCCTCCTTTTATGCCACGCAGCCCACGAACTAACTCTCAAAGTCTTGACCTACCTGCCACCAAAAGACTTGTGCAACTGCCAAGGTGATTTGTCTATATCGATTCCGAAAGCAGCGTGGTGGGATTTGTTCCTAACGACATCAAACTTTTGACATAATTCAGAAGCAAGCAAGATCTTATGCTTGCTTTCGTCTGATGATTTGGTCTGGAAGGAGGCGTGTAAGCGTGAATGGGCTGATAAGAAGCACTCGCCATTGTCGCTTCACCCAGCTGGAGACTATTCAAAGGTTTGGCTGGTGATGGATCATGGATCGAGAAGGAACGATTGTTATTAACTGTTTTCGATTTGTTGTATATTTGAAAGGTCTTGTCAACGCTAAACAATGACGAGATGAAGACCATCTTGACTCGTCGTGGGATTTCGGAAGATCAGATTCCTGACACGTAAGTAAACCGTCTTGATTCTTTGATTTGGGTATCATAGTGCCAATTGTTTGATATTTTAATTAGACGAGATGATCTCCGTATCATGGTCCGCAACACCAGGCCACGTGGTGCTCCTAAAGGATCTTCCAAATGGAAGATCTCGTTCGTTGCTGCACTTGCAGACTCTCAACGAACCGACATTACTGAGTACGAGTTGATGAACATGAAATGGTGGGTATAAGCAAGCTTCTGGTTATATTGTGGATATCTATAGGAACGAACTTACACCGATTTATAGGCTATACCGTGATGTATCCCGCTATCATGGATACAGTCGCTGCGAGCCTGTGATTTTCAGCGCGGATCGCACCCGCGCTGGAATCGCTGGATGGCCTATGCGTCGACGCTGGCGTATGGTTAACGGGAAAGTCAAGGTTGACCAGTTTGATCCTCATCAAGGCATGTTAGGAACCTTTCCCTTGGTCTGGTCAATAGTTCTCACAAGTCGCTTCTTTAGCAACTCGCAATGAGGATTGGTCATGGGTGATTTATAACGATTGGGTGCACTATGAGAGTGTAGACGAATACCCAAAGAAGGATGCTAATGCTAAGCCACCTCCAGCTTTACGTACGTATGATAAAAGTGTATTGGACTGTCAACTGTATGCTAATCAAGTTTCACACTTAGCTGCCTTTGAATATAATCATATTGGGTACGGCGGCTTTCAATTAGAGGAAGATGATGATGAATAGTAAAAGTTAAAAGGGGGCTGTTTGCTGATGGTGGAGTGCTTTTGGCTGCTGGTTCATGTATAGTAGAGATTTTTTACAAACAAATTCAAATATAAGTCAGTGTGTGAAAAATTTCGGGATGCGTTCTCATCAGTGATAACCAAGTGACTTTTTCGTTCACAGGATTATTAGATTCAAGCAAGGAAACACGTCCAGTACATATCGGCAAAAGACATCAAGTCGTTGCTTATCTTGCTGGGCATCCGAAGTGTCATTGTTTGCATCATACGGAAGGGTCGTTCCGTTCCAGATCTGAAGGTATGGACACGATTTACGAGCTCGAACGAGTTGAATGAAGCTGTTTGATAAAGATTCATACCTCTGTTTGCAAGTTTTTCAACTCCCGCCTGCGAAGGCAGGAATCGCTTTCTGTTTCGAACTGACATCAACCTTCCAATAGAAGAGAACTCGAGATCTACGTTATAGGAAGGGGTGGCATCACCTAGCCAAGGCAGCCAGGCACCAATTCGCCTCTTCTCGTCATCTGCCTCCTGTGTCCTGGTCGAATGTATTGTCCCTGAAACCGTGAAAATTCAGTTTTTTGCGAGTAAGGAAGTTTCGTTTCAAAGTATCGGTCGCTGCTATCTAAATTTAGGATTTGATTTTGTGTTATAGAGTAGCAACGAGCCATAGACGTTAATCTCTTGCCTAGTTGGAGCTTTGGACGAGCTTTTCGCAAAATCAACACACGTCCGCAAAAAATCCAAAATGAGTGCAACAATCACTAGTTTACCATCTGGAGCCAATGGAGTCGGTAGAGACATGTATCATCAAGGTGCTGGAATGGTCATGAGTGTCCATGCTCCAAAGGTACTAGGAAACTGTTTGAGAACAAGCTGTATCTTGCCATGATGTCATGTTGGTTTTTGAAACAGAATGGCTGGAGCAATACGCTACACACATCACCTAACTAACCGTGAACCTGCATCATCGTTGCTAGACTACTATTCATGTCACAAAGATAGTGCTGGATCGTGCTGATCTACGAGCATTCTTCCAAAAGATGCCTGGTTTTGTGTACGTCTTTTTCACACCCCGACTGTGATGATGTTTTATAATCATTTCTTAACCAAACACGTGAACCAATTCCTTTTTTTTTAGGAGAATATCCTTTCATGCGGATTACGCGTTTGTATGTTTCAACGACATACCACACGCCGTGCAAGGCATCGAACGAGTTCACACTACATCTGAGATGTTTGCAGCATACGCTAAATTTGGCGTGAGTTGCAACACGACTCCCAGTATCGCAGTAGCACCAAACCCTATATTGTATATATCCGTCTTTCCTTACTTTACGGAAGCAGAATTGACTCGTATCTTTCGTGGCTATGAAGGATTCGACTCGGTTCGCTTCTGTCCAGGGCATTGCCTAGTCCGTTTTGGAACTGTGGAATTAGCTACCAAGGCACTAGAAGACTTGAACTCAACGACAAATCTATTTGCCAACTATTCCACAAAAGGTGCTAAGGGAGGGTTCCCAAGTAGCGGTAGTAATGCTAGTATCGCTACAAGTAATAGTAGTAGCAGTAGTAGCAGCAATAGCAGCAACAGCACTGTCACACCATTATCCAAGACCATAATGCCACGTCCTCCCACTGGTATGGCTCTACATCCGCCAAATGCTTGGATACCGGAAGCTACTCAGCAGCAGTCAGTCAACGTGGCAGTATCTGCTACTTATTCCTCTGCTGCCGAGATGGATCATGCCACCACTGCTACAACAAACGGTGTTGGGTTGCATACCATACACGTAACCAACATCAATACTATATCCAAGGCTAATTTGCGTCGAATGTTTGCTGGATTTGAAGGATTCAAGAAGGTGGCATTTTACACAGGTAATCAGATTCTATCACAAGACTTTTTTTGTCCTCTGCTGATTGTTTGAACATTACTAGATTACTGCTTTGTGGTGTTTGCAAACACACGAACTGCATCTACAGCTATTGAAGAGTTATTGTTCACGACAAGGATGAAGGCTAATTTTGCAAAGGTACGCGAGTTGTGTAGTCGAGCAAAAACAATCCACCTCTTACCAGTCGTAATTCCACAGAGTGATTTTGGTCCACATCCTCCTTCACCGTCATCCACTGGAATACCAAGTAATATCATACGAGTATCTGATTACCCTCCGAATACTGAGACATTTGAGGTATGAAGAATTTCGCAATGTGCAAAAAAAGCCGCAACATTGGCTCCTGCACGTGGTAACACAGCTCAACTTTTTCTCATAGCTATCAGAAGTGTTTGAAGAATATGAAGGCTTTACAGATATCCAACTCTTCCATGGATCATGCCTGGTTCATTTCCGAGACAGTGTTACCGCTAGTCGGTGCCTAGAAGATATTAACTCGACAACAAACTTTACAGCGCAGTACTCGAAAAAGCCATCATATGTCGGTACCCCTAGCAACAAGTATACAGGTTACGCTCCTTCATTAACAACACCAACAGCCTCACCATATGAATACTACGATCCAAGCTCTACACCATCTCCCGATAGTTCACGAGCATCAAATAACTATGGCATGATGCCGATGCAGTACCTCTCGCATGCAGCAGATATGTACCCACCCTTCTTACAACAGACGGCGTCTTCGTCCACATTGGTGGACGATGACGACGAGTTTCTATTGCAACATAATCCATTGCATCTGCATCACAACAACAACAACAACAACAACAACAACAACAACAACAACAACAACAACAACAACAACAACAACAACAACAACAACAACAACAACAACAACAACAACAACCGCAGCAGTCATCATCAATACCCTCGCTGGCACCATCGTCTAATTCGTCAACGTCGTCACTACTTCAGCCAACATCGTCATCATCACTGGATTTGACGATAATACCAACTAGTACTAGTAATAGCAATAGCATCCTCTCCTCCCAGCCACATTCACCACACCATCAAGTCGTACCGATAGGTACAGAATTTGCCATCAACACGAACAGCAATAACAATAACAGCAAAGACGAACACTCAACAACACGATCAACCATGTCACCGCTGCCACTTCAACAGACATCCTCCCCAATAAACAGCACTCCGTCATTATTAGTCAAGAGTAATAGCAGTGCTGCTCTCCCTCTCCCTGCAACAACACCATCACCATCATATAAATCATTCGAGTCACAGTCAACACTATTCAAAGAATTCCTGGACGCACTCTTACTGAAAATCAGTACCCTGGAACGAGAAAACACTGAACTGAAGGACCAATTAGCGTGCAAGAATGTCGATCCTGCCTCAAGTAACATGATCAACGCTTCATTATCATCGTCTAGTATATCCAGCACTTCATCCACCGCATCATCTGCAACAGCAATGGCAGCTGATAATGATGCTCAACAGCAGCAGCAACTGCCACAGGAAGTGTCTCGCTTGGCTCTGGAAAATAGGTCGTTACGAGCTGATTTGGCTAATATGAGGAAATCGTTGGAGTCTCTTGAACGGGCGCACAAGCAGTGTGCAATGTTTGAAGGTCTGTTGGCTATCTGTGAATAACTAGTGTCTCTCGCTCTTAAAATGATTGGGATTTTTGCTTTCTCTTCTTACTTACGTATTAATTGCTTTTTGTCTTATAAATAATTTTGTTTGTGTGTGTGGAAATATAATACCTTGTATATATCGCTTGAACTATGTCTTTGTGCGTCAGTTTGGAAGGCGTCTGCGTTCCCTTGATAATTGGATCAGGCTTTGGGAAGACTGAGAGATAAACCGAAAGGAAGAGAGGACTTCTGGCATGCGATAGAACAGCTGCTTGGATGCTCATCTGATACTTTTTAACTTGAAACCTCTTCGGCATAATGTTTGGGCGATAAACAGGCCCAAGAAGCTCAAAAGGACGAAATAACCAGACGGCACAACCAAACTAATGGCCAATGGCTCTTTCTCCGGTGCTCAATATCACGAGCTAGAAGATCTGAGTGCCAAACGGTTGGCATCGGATGGGCTGGATGTCAGAGATGATGGACATCAACTCGAAACTGATGTGGTGCGAGAAACCACACACGTTTTGTGGATTTGCCAAGCGATAATTATGGAATTATTAATTTATTCAGTATAACTTGAAGCTGACGTGTAACTTTTCTAGGACTTTGAAGTCAAAGAACCACTTTTGGAGGAAAATGTCATTGACGAGGAAGAAGAGTTGACCAACTCACCAGTCCCTGAGGTCGCTGCCGTAGTTCCAATATACGACGATCCAAGCCTCCCTGTCATGACATTCAGATACTGGGTTCTCAGCACGCTCTTCACAATCATTGGATCTGCAACCGGAGTCTTTTATTTCTTTCGATCGTCTGCGATTACTCTGTCATTGTTTTTCGTTATTTTGTTATCGTATCCGCTTGGAGTTTTCATGCATCAGGTATGGCGATGTTGTCTGGAACCATGCTCGTGGTGTATTCAAGCATGATTAACAGCTTTTTTGCTAGGCCATGCCAACACACGCATTCTACAACCCGGGCCCATTTAACGTCAAGGAACACACTCTGATTGTAGTCACGGCGTCGTGTGCAATTCAAGTCGCATATGCTATCGATATCGTCAGCGTCCAAATCTTATTCTACCACCAGGATGTTGGTTGGATTGCATCTTTATTGTTGCTGTGGACTACACAGTGTCTTGGGTACGGATTAGCTGGGCTGCTGCGAAGATGGCTGGTGTACCCGTCACATGCATATTGGTAAACTTTGATTCTCTGATTGACAAAATAAAACTTGGTCAAAACAGTCATTGATATGTTTTCAACAATAGGCCTGCCAGTCTTCCTCTCGTGACAGTCATCACGTCCATGCATTCAGCATCATCAGAGAATAATACTTTGATGAAGACGGTAAACCATGTTTCCACAAAACAATCCAGCGAAGTATACATATTTAACCTTTTTTTAGAGGCTTCGATTTTTCACAAAAGTCGCAGTTCTCGTCGCTATTTGGCAACTGGTGCCTGGATTTATAGCTCCGACCCTGAGCTCTGTTGCTCTCATGTGTCTGTTTGGAGGAGGGCCAACCGAAACCATCTCGAAGATCGCCGCTCAAGTTGGATCAGGTTTCTTAGGAGGTGGATTCTTTGCACTGTCATTAGACTGGAATTATGCAGGTGTTCTCTCACCTCTCGTAACGCCGTTCTGGTCACTCTTAAACGTACTGGCTGGTGTAATTGGTCATGTTTGGATATTGACACCATTCATATTCAACTATACGAATCTATGGAATGCAAAACTCTTCCTGGAAGCGGGTCTCATGTACAGTGTGTCCACGTTTGCTTATAATGGATCAGCCCCTGCTGGACAACAACTCACACCCTATAATGTTTCTCGCGTGCTTAATCATACAACATTGACATTGGACATAGACGCTTATAATGCTTATTCGCCCCTCAAGTTATCACCGTACTGGGCTCTAGTATACGGATTTTCGTTTGCAGCTCTGACTGCTACGCTGATGCACGTGTATTTATTCTACGGGAAGGAGATTACTGAAGGAGTGTCATCTACTGTCAAGCAACGCAATCGAGACGTTCACGTAAGGATGATGTCCATATACCCTGAAGTACCTAATTGGGTTTATATGACTGTATTGGCTGCTATGACTGTGTTGTCTATTATTGTGATTGAAGTCTGGTGAGTTGACAATCGACATCCCTTTAAATCTTCGCTTGTTTGGTTTTCGTGCATCTTTTCACTAGCTTGAACCGCAAATGAACAATCTTGGTAGGAATGTCCAGCTGCAGTTAAAATGGTGGGGTTTGTTGTTGGCTATTGCTATGGCGTGTCTGTTTGTTTTGCCAGTGGGACTCATTCAGGCTATTTCGAATTATCAAATTGGTACGAGGGGGAAAAAGCAGCTGCTTGTATCGCAACACTGGGGCATCGCATTTTGACGATTCTTAATCCTGAATAAACTCATCGCATCTAGGTATCAATGTCGTAACAGAATTTTTAATTGGTTTGATTCTTCCTGGACAGCCAGTGGCCAATATTGTTTTCAAGGTAATGCCTTCTGAGACCTCCGTGGCATTCCTTTTTTGCGCACTTTAACTACCACTTCTTTTTAGACGTATGGATATATGGCCATGTCTCAAGCTCTGAATTTAGTGTCGGATTTGAAGTGGGGGCTCTATATGAAGATTCCCCCTCGGATGATGTTCATTGGTGTGCTGCAGCACAAGGTTTTTTATGTCGCAGTGAAGAGGCATGATACATGTGCTGAACTGTTCTCGTTTCCCACGAAAGGTCAATTCTATGGAACGATTCTTGGAAGTGTCGTAAACTATGTCGTGATGAAGGCACTGTTTGCTAGTGTGCCAGCTATTCAAGCTTCAGCTGATGGTCACGGTACCGAACAAAACTGGAATCCGCGTTCTTCTCGAGTGTTTTACTCTGCTTCTTTGATCTGGGGCCTGATTGCACCAGCCAAGTTCTTTGGTGGAGAGTACTCTGTGCTCTTTTTGTTCTTTTTGATTGGGTAAGGTTTGCAGCAACGGTATGGTCTTGAATCTCACTAACATGCGTCGTTTGTCATAGTCTTCTGGTGCCAGTCCTCCTGCACTGGTTGCATCGTCGATATCCAAAGCTGGGGTTAAACTATATCGTTACTCCCATCATTTTTCAAGCAACTGGAAATGCTGGGCAGAATGGAGCCAACACTCAAACCACTGGCTTGATCATTTCCATCTTCTTCATGTATTGGATACGAACGAGACATCCACGCTGGTTTGGTATCGTGAGTCTTTGTGTGTGACTTGTTGGGTCGGTTGGGTTGATAACCAACATTCTCTGTCTCTAGTACAATTATAGCCTATCCGCCGCGCTGGACTGTGGAGCTTTTGCTGCAACTATATTCATATATCTGGTGTTCACAGTTAGGAATGTGAGGTTTGGTACGTGGGTGCTCAATCCAGAACCGTCGTATTGGAGCTCTGCCGAATGTAAGTTTGATTGATGTTAAGAATATCGTCGTGATCTATGGAAATTGGGTGCTGATCTGGCATGGTTCTCATCACAAATCACGTCGTTGTAGATTGTCAGACCAACCACACGTTCAACTAGTTCTCTAGATATAGATAGGAAGTAGACGTAGACGTACACGCCTAAATTATGTACATGTAGTGTAATAATAAGATTGTTTGAATCGAAGGAAACGTGTTTCGTCTCATTAATTCACACTCGTCCCAAACTCACAAATAGACGAAGTTTATCTCAATGCCACCACAAGGAAAGAAGAAGGAGACCGCTCCAGGGTAAGCTTGAAATGATCGCAGTCAAATCGTTTCTTCATCTTTTCCTACTTGCTTTTCGTTGCTTTGCGCCTTCTGTTTAAAAAAAGATCACATTTATTTTGCTGAAAATGTCGATTGCTCTAAGACTTTGAAGTTAACAAGCACTCTTCTTGATTTATACATACTTAGCCAGCGACCTATTACCGGCTTCTTTGGAAAGGAACCCATGAAAGGGTATGCATCAGCGCTTGAATCAAACATTGCGGGACAAAACATTGATGTCGCGCTTGGATCCAACCCCTACGACGACAAGTCGGTACCAGCTGAAATCCGATTGATATCTTACACTATATTGGATATTAGAACAGTTCCCATCGCGGACAGCAAGGAAAAGCCGGCTTTAGTTACATCGTCACCAGGTAGAGTTTGAATGAGGCTTGCGATCCGTTCCAATATCGGACGTTTCTGCATTCAACTCATATTGATAAAGTCTTATCGTTCCATTAGGTATCATATCGGTCGCTTCGTTTTTGAAATCTGACGACATACAGTCTGTTTAGTTTTTCGTATTTTTTAGAAGACAAGATGGACGTTGATACACCAAGTCCAAAGAAAAGTAATTTTATTTGCATATTTAATTCTGCTATTCAAGAACATTTGATTTGAATGAAATGACTCACTAAAAATACTCGCATAATGTCTTGATTTCTAGACACGCAGAAGCGACCATCACCAACAATGGAGTTAGCTCTTTCCAAATCCAAACGCCTCAAGTTTGATGCCCAAATGGACGAAGAATCTTCACGGGAAGCTAGTCCGAATATGAGGACTCTCGATGAAACTCCCAGCTCACCACTCAGTTATTTGAACATGTTGGATGCCGAGGACGACGATGATGACGATACCATCACGATCAGAAGTCCATTTGGAAAACAGTTAAGAATGAACCAAAGAAACAGTTGGAAAGTAAAAGATGTGTCCTAATAATCTCCTTTTCTCGCCACAACAATTTACAGTAGGTCAGAACGCGAACATTCCCGCCCACAACGAAAATCCGCTCGCTCAAAGAAGGTCGACTATGAAGAACCAGGCAACGACCCTGAACTCGACACACCTAAGATGATAAACATTATGAATCCCACTTCCAAGGTCAAAACAGCATCCAGCGTGCTGGCTGCTCTGGCCAAAACGTTCCATGTTCGGGCAATTGGTATGGAGAACTTGGCAGCTATTAAAGCCTTTTGGGCTCAACCAGATCCAAATGCTCCTCATGAGTCTCCGTCTTTGGACGAGGTAAACTGAGCAAATATAAATATATGCATCGGAGCATTCGTCCAGATTCCTTTTCTCGGTGACTCTCCTCACACATTTCATTTGTAGTTTGCTGAAAAAACCATTGCAGTAGCCAAGGTTGCAATTTCACAAGAAATTCAATTGTTTGGAATACCCAAGGTATGAATATGCACTCTCATTCTCAATTGCTTCAGATTTTGACTTACACACACGTGTGGTTTGCTGTAGCCTGTTCCTACTATTGAGCTCAAGTCACCAAAACTACCTAGTCCCTTTGGATTGGACTTTACGGAATGGGCGCTAGGTACAGACATGTTACTCAAGTCACAGTTCCCCAGGAAATGTTGGCTTTTTGTTGCTCCTTTATCGTATTATCCTCTCACTCATTTCACCTACCTTTCTCATCATAATTAGATCCAAAGAAACGACGCGACCTTCTTATTGACAACATCATTCCTCTCGCATCTGCCAAATTATGGAAGAAGCTCCCACTCGACCTAGCAGAGTGGCTGTTTGGTTTAGGTACGTGCTGAGACTGTCTGATTGCTTTTTTTCTGCCTTATGTCTGACTTTGATTCATTGGTAGCATGCTACGATCCTGATTCAGTCACTGCTCAATATGCATGCGACAATCTCATGGCACAATTCTCGTCTGATTGTGTATGTTGCCAGCGATTTCGATTTTCTTTTGTTTGAAGAAACCAATTACCAAAACTCGATTTTATTAGACTTTTACTTCAGAGTGGAAGTTGGATTTTGAACGATTCACGGCCATCTTGGTATCGTTTGGATGTACACCACGTGTATACATGGATGACTTGACTTGCACTGTGCAAGCATTCAGTGTTGATGTAAAACCTCCTACTCTTGCTGGTACTATCGATGTAGATGGTGAACCGGGTATGCATAAATGAGAACTTTGGTTCGTTTTTTGCAACCAGACGTCTTTAGTCTTCTGGAACTGAAAAGATAACACCTGGCATTTAGAGCAACAACGTGGTCCAAGGTTACAAACTCTTGTCAACCTTGTCAAGTTGCTGATTGCGTCTATGGTCAAACAGTAAGTACAAGAATATCGGGCTCCGCATGTACTTTTTCGCCACATCTTTTAAGCACATTTTCCTTTTTTGCAATTAGGCTGTCAACAATACTAAAGGAAACCATCATAGACTGCATGACACTGCTCACAGTCTTGTGTCTCGATGACTGCATAGTGTCGATACGCTACGAGATTGCTACATGTCTCACACGGTTGATTTGTGCCCTATCTGAAAAATTATGGCACGAATATCGAAATGAATATGGACGTCGATTGATACGATTCATTGGAGACAACACTCGAATTCAAGTTGAAATGATTTATTGCTTTTGCATTGAGTCTGTACGCTTGAATGCATTCAGAAGGTCATTGGCATATTATTGGTGTGTGGGTCATTTGTCAGTGGATGGGGAGGGTGCTGTTGAAGTGATTAAGACTCCTGTTGTGAGGGTGATGTTTGGTTGTTTATGTTTTTTTGTGTGAAACTTGACCGTCGAGCTAACACTTTCCCGAACACTTTTGCTAGTTTGATGCCTCAAGCAACATGAGCTACTCTTTAATCGCAAAGGCTATGAAAGCCCAACGATTTTTGAAGCTAAACAGGGACACAGATTACGATTTGATTTATGAGAAAACAAAGCTCTTGGTATATGCTATTGGAAGATACGAGGATGTTCAACAACAAAAAGTGAGGCGCATCGGGTTGTATTCGTGTGAATGGGGTACTGACCAAAAATGTATTTGTTGTAGGTTGAGGCCAAAGAACTCTCTGCAGCTCTTGATTCACTACGCCAACGTATCAAGATTGATCATGCTGGAATGTCATCCCGATCGAAGATTGATGTAAGTGTTTGGTAAACCAATCACGTCGGATCTTGCGTCGTTTTTTTGGTTCCCTCTATTACTCCTTTGAACTGAAGCCTTCTCTTTTTTCTCATCAAACAGACCAAACTTGAGCTTCGAGTCATTTCCGAGACGGTCGAGAAAATGACCACTCAAAGGAAGACGACCACATCCAAACCAGCTCAACAATCTCGCTTGAACTTTGCCGTTAAACCCAAGGATGAATCGTCAAGTTCTGGTTAGCCGAGTGAAGAAAGGTACAATAGCACAAGCAAGGCGAGGGAGTTGGGGTGTACAAAAGTTGCAAGAAATAGTGATAGGCAGAATTTTACAGGAGCCGATGAATTGTTAATTGATATTATGAAAACTTAATTGGGTTGTTACAGTACAGGCTTTATGTGTAAATGGTTATGCTTCGCTTGGGTCATTAGCGTAACTTGATGCGACGCAAGTTTTGCCTCAAGACGGTTTTATCCAATCCAGAAACGAATTCATACCCCCGCCACCATTCATTTGTCCCAATACATCAGTATTCAGCAAACGACTCAGCTCATTCCCACCTCGTGCCGCAGCAATTCTAGATATCTCTCCTTGATCTCGTAGCAAGACTAGAGCTTGAGCAGCAGTAGGGGCTCGTTTCGTAGAGGTACTTAATCGTCGTAATGATTTCGATATTGGCAACAATCGGCGGTGGATTTGTACCAGCCCAGACAACCATGTTTCAAGCTTCTCGGCTGGTGATGACCTAAATTTATTATTCTCTGCTCCTCCTGCTACACCTTCAATATCAACGCTAGCACATATGGTCATGAGGAGACTAGAGTCCAGTTTGAAAGCTTCCTTCAGGGCTGGATGTAGTGCTTCTGATACTTTATATGAAACTCCTTTGCCAAGTATTGGAGTGTCAATCTCACCAACAGCAGGAATACCCTCCCATCGTGCAATGCTACCATAGTGAATACCGGTTCCGTATAGTTCTAGATAGTCTACTCCAACATCAGACGTCGCTGAGAACACTAGATGGCGTAGTGTCAGATCAAGTGCTGTTTTTATACGAGTTCGTATTAATGGCCCTGGTTGACCACGATTGACGGATTGCGATTGAATAACGGATGGTGGATCAAATGTAGGGGAATTGATACGCGGTGGGAGAATGGAAGATTCTGGATTATGAATAATGGGCTTTTTAGCATCATCTAGTGAAAGAAGTGAAGAGTTAGTGCAAAAAACGAAAGCAAGATGTATGAACGCCAATAATTACCATGTTCAGTCATACCAGTCCACTCAAAGCTAAGGGGTGACCTATCCGTATCACCTACTCGACTAGGCTCTCCAGAAAATGGTGGAATGGCACTACTAGTAACAGCCGACATGACATCCTGTGATGAATGGCCAACAATGGCAGCATTAACAAGATCAGCTATATTCGTTACAGGATCGATCTCATCTAGAGCGACATCTCGCTGTAATGACCATATTGTACCAGCTGCATCTGCATCAACTAGAGGAAAGTTGGCCACTACTCGAGAAGCTGGGCTGGCCTGTGGTATAGCATGCAGAATCTCGTCGAGATGCATATAGTCGTCCTGATATTTTGCTTGATTTACTTCCATCTGACTAGTCCTTTTTGATGAATTTATATGAGCCTCCAATGTTTCACTCAATCGTAGAGAATCATCAACTGGAACTTCTATAACTACATCGTGGGAGGCCTCCTCCATAATTGGCGGTCCTGAATCATTGTTTAGAGGGGGTTCTGCGTCCACGCCTGCTCCATTTGCTGGTAGTTCAGTGTCCAATTTTTCCGAGACATTATTAAAGATTTCGGAGCCAACCTGGACATTGTCGAGTGTAATAGCCAACAGATCTGGTTTTATACTATCATCGGGATTACGAATGACTTCTACTGCAGACACATTTTCCAGAGCTCGAGACATGTCAAGGCCGGTTACAGGTTTCCAATCCTGCGATGAATCTCTCCTGCTATTGTTGACATTCAGACCAACAAGAGATGCCTCCCGAGTCAATGACGGCATACCAATACTTGCTCCGTCTTCAATGGCATCGTTTTTCATAACGCTGGGAGTTGCATTTGGTGCATCGTCCACTTCTGCTCGTGTTGCCGATTGTCGGATTTGAGCTACTTCGGCCGTGACTCTTTCCAAGTCTTCCAGAGTCTTCAAGTGGTCTATAAGAGCATCAACAAGAACAGCCGGTGCATGGTCTTTACTACTACTTGTATGGTGATCGTGGTGCTGGTTGTCTTGGTCGAGAGCTTCACTACAGAAGCGTCTACCCAGCAATGACGGAGCTTCTGCACGGTTCTGATAGACAGGATCTCGATCATACCGTCCTATGGAACCATTGTTCTGACCGCTGGGTCGTGACGGTAGTGGTCGGGCCAAGAAAGATACATCTTTCAATGCATCGTCAAAGAATCTTTGAGCATTACCAAGTACCGATACTTGCTCATAAGGCAACAAGACTTGTACTTCATGATTGCTAGTCGGATCGCTGACAGCATCTGACGTATCGTGAATGATGTGCTTATGTTCCAGTGAAGAGGTTGGATCCGTAACTTCATCCATTGGTGTCATATCTATCAAATATGAAAGTCAGGAGAAGTCGAGGTGAGGAAAAATTTCAAGAACTTACGCCTAATTTGATTCTCGGCAGCCCACCATACACTTTTATCATTGGTTGCTGCTAATGACCACATATTAGATACCCTGGAAATGCTGTCAATCTGATGAACGAAACTACCTTGTTGTTCAGCTTGTCTAATGGCTTCCTCGTACAGTTTAGAGGACGTCTTCCAGTGAAAGACCGTCTTATCGGTTCCTGGTCCATCTCGATGCTTCATAACCTTCTGAGATGGATCTATTCGCGCAGACTTGGGCTCTACTACACTTATGAATGGATGTCGTTCACGAGCAAATTCGGAAATCATTGTGACCCATTTACGTATTTGAGGTTCTCCATCCGTCTTATCAGGTCGGATTGTTGGCTGAGGATCTTCACAGAAGGGTGAAATACCATGAGCTATACGATACAGCAATACGAGAGACGATACTTCTTCATCATTATCGGGTATATGTGTAGAAATGTCGGATGTAGGTTCTGAGGTCGAATGCGATGATTCGTCTGAATCGGCACTATCAACCACTTGCCACGGAACCATTCCCAGGCATTTGGCTAGACATTCCAAGACGATGACTCTTATGTCAACATCGGAATCGTGCCGTAATATAAACAGAGCAAGAGCAATGTTACGGAATACGAGCTCATTACAAGCCAACCCATTGCCCAACTTGTGTGACGGTTGAGACCCTTCCAATACACCCATGAAGACGTATGCGGCGATATCTGCTACTACTCTAGGACTATCAGGCATAGACAGCTTCTTTTCCAGCGACGTAGCAAGTCGACGAATCGACAGGTGTCGATCATCCTCATATTGTGCCGTCTTGACTATATCACAATCATAAAACATGTGCCTCGTAAGATCCCGGGCCCACGTACGATAGCTTTCGACACAGTTTCTGGTGTTGCCCGTTACTAGTTCGTCCATTGCCGTCGTCAGAAGTCTAAAGGGATTATTTATATGCATTTCCGGTATCCGTTCACCAGATCTAGAAGATGGTATATGTCGACTACAAGTTCCATCATCTTTATGGCACACGGTAGTATCGATTGTGGTGTATTTATGATGACGGCCGTCCATGAGATCAGCATTCATAGAGAAAATGGCTGCAGATCTGGCAGCTACATCTCTGACATGAGGGTTTGGATCATCGAATAGATTCACAAAAGCCTTTAAGATCTATTCAGGTAAAGGACTTTTGGTGAATAGTTTGGAAGCATGTACAAAACTAACAAATTTTTCAAATGGCCCAACCTCTTGATTCGAATCCGGCAATGCAGACATTGCCTTGATAGAAAATAAACGATACAATTCCGTGGCTCTCGAATCACTATCGGATGAGGTTGGACGACACCTCGAGACTGCTATAAGGGTTTTCAAGATCCCGACATTCGCTGATTTTGAACGTTTTTCAGAGTTAGAGCTTTCATACAGTGGTAAGGCAGCAGATTAGCAACGGTACATACCACTTGGGACGGGAGTTGGAGTAAAAGACTCTTCACGAGACATGTCCCTATATATGTCTGTGATGATTTGTAGACCAGCGGCCCAACTTTTCCGACTAGCAGAGCAGAATGATTGCAATATGGGCATTATAAAGAAGGATACCATTCGATGTGTTTGGGATTCCAAAGCCCAACGTGTAATATGAGTGGCCCACTCTGGTTCCAAGCACATATAATTCTCAGCGTCTCGCTTCTGGGTTGTTGCATAGTATTCGGCTGCAGCATCTAACACAACACGAGACAATAAATGCAATAAATGCGAGACGTGCCGACATACGGGTTCGGCATCTGCGAGTGCTGGTGTGATGTCGAGGATACGAGTCAATGTATTTCCAAAAGATCCTAGCACTCGGGCGGCGTGTGCACCACTTCCTGGCCGAATAACAGCTGACCTTATTATAGGAAGGGTGATGTGTTTAACGAGTACGAGGTGATGCGATAGGATCTTTATAGTTATCGGTGGTCGTTGTGGGTGAATCGTTGATGGTAATATATGTATGAGGTCAGCAAGAGCAGATGCAGTGAGATGGATTTGTTCGTCGGATGCATTCGATGCTGATGCTAGCCGTGTGAGACCTTTAATCATGTTCTTGATGAGGCATTCAGCAACTTCCAAGTCCCCTACGTTTTTGCGTTCCGACGCTCCACCGACCATTCTACTAATGGATTCTATAAAGCTAGGCAAGACAGACTGGGCTTTCAGGGCTAGATCTTCAGGAATGGTGGGTGCCTGCCATGCTGGCACATTCGTAAAATCGAGGAGTGTGAGGAAGGATGACAAGATCACTTGCATAGCGTCTTGAGACGATGGCGGCTGATATCGGGATTTGTAGTTCTTTGGCGGTCTGAATATACTAGCCACTTTTGTCCTATCGTGAGTATGTAAGCTGGTCAATAATTGATCTGAATGTTTGGACGAGATCTATGGCACTAACCCATCCAGCTTCTTCATAATGCTGACAAGGGATACCAGACACAATAGCCTCACTTCTCGTCCATTGGTCACGACTGGATCTGCAGTTGTACTAGCATGACTCTGCAAATCCTGTTTTACAGCTTCATCAATCTGCAGAGAATAGTTCAAGGCCCGTAAAAGCGAACGAGCAGCCTCACACCGAGACGATGACTCTTTCCGATCTGGATCGTGTCCAGTACCGTGACGTCCATTACTGTTCGGTTTTGTTGACGAGAATTGACTTAAAATGTAGGGCAAGATCTCAGACAGTACAAACCGGTCCAGGTTGTTTGCATGGATATTGTTCGTTTCTACATCAGATACGACGAGTTCTGATGGCTTGATCAGCTTGGTTACTAGTCTATTGACTGCAGTTGAATGCCCTGGATGAAATAGTGAGCTCCGAGGGACGTGATGAGGTGTCTCATCAGCAGTCTTAGTAGGCAACATTATCGATTTTATAGCAGATCTAATATATAAGATGATTAGCCAGCTCGAATCCCTCTGGAACTGTTTGTCAAACCGTTCGTTGGAAATTCTACTGCGGATAAACACCATGAAGAAGTCAAGTTATGAACAACAAGCGAAATGACGCCTCGTATTGCTTTAAAAATTTAATTAAACAGGTGAACCGGCAAAGAGTTTCCGAAGTAATGTCATCAAAAGTTTGCTCAATTTATTATCAGCTGCTGATGATCAGAATACTGTGCAGGAGAAATCGCCAAAGGCTCTCGTGTCATGTACCCACGAAAGACTTCTTCTGGCGGGAAATATCTCCCCGAGATAATGCTATTATATACATTCACCTCAACACTGCCAGCACTCCCATCCCAGTCATAAAACCCTTCAGTCTCAATTCTGAGACGAAACCTTGGTATAGCCTGCGAGTCCGGATTAACAAGCATAAATAGTAAAAGTCCATTAGCCAGAAGCCATGCTGCAGCCTCTATGTGACCTTCTAACATTGTTATTGTCAGCCGACTTCCTTGTAAGATCTCAGGCCCAACTTGTGCGACTTCTTTAGCAGCACGGCCTGTATATCCAAACACCTCTGGATACGTTGGCTGCGGATGAAACCAATACAAAATTCCTTTCGCTTCATTCATCAATGCTAAATATACCATTACACGAATCTCCTTCTCGTTCGGCCACCGCGACCAGTATGCCTCCCTCCCGAAGCCTTGAAGCACAGACCAGACTGGTTTGTATGTGTCTACAGGCGCCAGTTCTTCTTTAACAGTTCGTAGACGAGTAGCAACGTCCATGAGTCGTCCTTCACACCCATCACAGCCGCAGTCTCCATACGTAGCATTACAGGGCGTTTCATGAAGAGTAGACCACGTAGCGTTAATACCGACAGGATATGGATCTGTGAGCAATATATCTGCTGATGATGTATAATATGTGGGTAATGCTACGCAGTTTAGTACCAGTGCGACTGGGTGGTACGGATCCAGTTCCTTAATAACCTCATAGGCCGCTCTAGTCACATCAGGACTATCCGAGAATCCCTGATTGAAACGTTTAAATTTGGTTGAGAATGCTGGGTTTGGGAACTATGCGAGTTTGACCTATGAAAACCCGGGTCTGCCAAGATTCAAGATATCAATACTCACATCAGGCTCATCAGCGGTATACCAAACTGACAAAGATTTACGAGAACGAAACTCCAAGACTTGCTCCCTGACAGAAGTCAGATTCTTGAAGGTGTGACGCATGTCATACATGATAGTCACACCAGCAGCTTCAGCAGCATCAAACAACAGATGCATAGAGGCGATAGGATCGTAAGGCGGACATGGATGAATCATGGTATTATCGGCTTTTGCCATAGTGACGACTCGTTTAAACGGCATCTCAAAGAGCCACGGCGTCGAAGTATAGTAACCATATGGATATAATACGGGTTCTTCCACACTATCGGTTACAATATATCCTTCCGGAATGAGCAGCTTCGTGATGGATCCTCCAAATGGATTGACAGCTGGCAGAACCGACAGGTTGACAGTTTGAGTAGCGATAGCCTCCTTCGAGATGGAATCCAACAAGGTGGCTGTAATAATATAAGGATTCATCCGCCGTTCAAAGACATCTAGGGAAAAGACTACGTCGACCTCGTCACCCTCTTTGCGTAACTCCAACATCAAGTTGACGAATTCCATTCCAGTATCAGCACTAACACACCTAAGCACGTACGAGCCACGATTTTTACTCCATTTCTCACGTTTACTTCCAGCACCTCCATTATAAATCACTATAAAAGCACCTTCCGTTTCGTTCGTGTAAGGTTGGATTTTTGGTTTGACTTGCAGGATTAATGTCGTGTTTTTCGGTGGTAATGGAGGAGATATGAGACCTGGATCTTGTTGGCCCTTTTTATACGGTTTGCCACACCATGTTGGGATATCTTCTTGGCCATTTACAATGTTTGATGTCAACACCAATGTCAACAACAGTATTACAGCGAGCTCAACTAGACCAAACGAGGCCCTCATGCTGTATAAGGATACCAATTCACTGATTCGGATTTGTTGTCTATGGAGATTTCAACCTGACAACGGTTGCAACCTGGTAAAGGTTGGAACAGTAATCAATTAAAGACAAGTGTTGTGGATGGAAACAGATGCAACTGTTGGCAGCCAAACGTGTCGATTTCGTGTTTGCATACAACAGTCAAATGAGTCTGCCATTAATAATTAATTCTACTGGCCGTGCTCACTTTTGCGTGAGGTGTTCTCTCCCACATAATCACAATGGTGACCACCTACATTCTTCTTTCACTCATCCTTCAGTTCACAAAATATTGGCAGATAGAATCTTACAGAGAAAAGAATCTGAGAGTTGTAGAGTATAAAATTGCCACGATTCAACTGAGTCCGGCAGCCTCTAATAGCTTGAAACCGTCACTGTTGGTTTGCGCCTTTGAATGTTTGGTGTTTTGTTTTTCAATGCAATTCTGTAAAGGCATAATGTTTTTGACCAGGTTTTTGAAGATTGCACAATCGCTGTTTGATTTCAAGTTGAGATATCGGTTCAAATCTAATTTTGTTACTTGGAATACTCAACTAGGATCCCGTCTCTATTCCACCTCCTTCTCCAACAATTTTCCGAACTCCATGCGGCCTACTATGGTGGTCTACAAGTTTTTGTTTGCAAACGCTTCCCTGTCTGCAATCTTCCACTTGATGTGATGATCAATATCTTCCAGAGGTGTGCACTTTAATTTACTTTGCCGCTCGCTACAAATACGAGAACTTTGGCTTCAGTCTTCAACCCTTGTTGTTGCTTGTTGTTTGAACTGAATTGTACCCTTATCTCTTCTTACTTTTAGACTTGAAACGCCTGCTCAACTGCACTCTGCATCAATGGTCTGCAAACAGTTCCAAACCGAAATCGATGATTTCAAGAAATCGGTTGTGGTTCACCGCCAGGCATCCGATTGTCTCTGTATATGCCTCACCGCGATGAATTCTTGACGCAAGTGTAACCAGGTTCGTTGATTGACCCTCAGACAATGCATCCCGCGCCAAACCGACAAAACTTCTTTTCACCACACAGAGAACCAAAAGTCATCAACTAAACTCGTTGTCAAAGTCTTCCATCATTCGCCAAATCGCAATTAAAACATTTCCACAACCTCCACACAACTTCCTCAAGTATTGCATCCCATGAGATGTCTATATTATTAACATCACATGATAGTGCCTTCCCAAAATCATGATACAACTTACTATTCTTTGTATATGAGGGTATCATGTACATATGAGTTTGACTTTCATTTCTATATTGAGTAAACGTCCTCGTATTTTATAACCTGAGCCAGAATATATTTACGAGTTTTTGGGAGGCAAGAGCCTTCGACGAGCACTATAGAGAGGGGAGTATCAGCAACTGCTTGAAGCGAGATGTCATAACATGCACAACGCAAGGATTTCATCATACTTGATAAACCAGTTGTTGCATTGAGTGATTGAGAGTCCAGTTTGCTGACATAGCCTGTCCTTCTCTTCGTCGGAAGGATAAGGGTGCTCCTTGTGACTGAATAGCCATTCCTTCAAGACTCGAGAGACCTATTCAATGTCATTAAAAAAAATTCGTGAGTTTTTGACATGTTTACGATATATTTTGCTTTAAATCGTGCAAATAACTCTGTATGAGTATGTGTATCCACGCTACTGATACTATAGCAAGCAAAATATAAATTGCTGTGATTCAATGCACGTCACACCCCAAACAAAACTTACATCAGCAGAATGATTTGGACGTTTGACAATCCCACTATTTCCATCACCAACAAAACTCTTCTTTGCCTTGGGACGACTACCACCACTACTATTACTACCACGACGTTTCTTTGCAACTGGTTGATGACTACCAGATGCGACATACGAGGTCCCTCGCCTAGAGCGTACAGCACGAGTAGAGTTTGTAGGACGGTAATCATCACTATCATCACTTGGATGTTTAGCGACATCTTGAAAGTCTTGTTCGTCATAGTCGTGTTCATGGCCATCGTCGTCGTATTCTACAGGACTGAGATCTGATTCTTCATCAGACACTGATCTACCAGTAGATTTAGCAATTGCTTTGGCGAAAGCACTTTCAGACTTGTTGAGTTTGCGAGTTGTGTATCGTTTTGACGTTTGGGTACTTGGGGATGCAGGACCAGCAGAAGAAGGTGAGGCTGTGGCGTCTGGATCACCACCACCGCCTTCATCGTATCTTTCTGCTTCTTGATCCTGGATCTCTCGATTACGTCTACTCGGACGAGTGACGACTGGAGCGGCAGCGCGAGCTGTCACCAACTGCTCCAGACGCTGCGGACGAGACATGGTGACCATCTCATGAGTCAGATACGCAATGCTTCGTTTCAACAAGATTGTTGACTCTGACATCTGATTGTTTCCAGATACAGCAGCGTCACCACCAGCATCAGCGGCGTTGACCACCAACAAATCACTATTCAAGATTTCACGAAGACGAGTCAAGATAGTTTTGACCTGTCCGAATTCATCACGGGAGATAGCAATAAGCATGAATTTATGTAGAGACAATAATTCTCTCACGATGACATGCAGTGGGTGTGCTTCCATGTCAATGTTGTTGATGTGTGAATGTGGGTGGTTACTGTCCATTAGAAGGAGATTGGGATTATTATCATTACTATATGCGATATTCGTGGATGGAAGGGCATATGGTGGCAGCTGTGGTCGATTAGATGTGGTTGGTAAATTATGAGCTGGTAAGTTGATGTAGAAATTATTGGCGTTTGATGACATTGTGCTCAATGCGGATCCTTGGTTTGGCATGTGTATATAATAATCCACTTGAGAATCGTTGACTACTTGTTCGATTGTTGGTGAGAGAGAGTTCAGACTTGACATCGTGCACGTCTTTTACTTTGACGTGCTAACGATCACCACCTGACTTCTTAAGAGGCACCTAATAATAGAAATGATGTTACTAAAGATTATATCTAATCTGATAACATTGAAGGACCGATCGCTTATCAACAACGACCTCAACTAAGCAAAGTGAAATTTTGAATTCTAAAACGTCAAGTTGTAGATCAAAGACGTCCAAACAGAGGATGAATTATTTTAGATTTGAAATTTATATCTGAATGAGTCTAATGAGCGTTCAATTCTCCATTCAGGAACGTCAAAATAAACCCAATGTTGATATGAGGAGCTTTTCTGAAACTTTACACAGAAATTACATTATAAACTACTTCGTTCTACCCATATTCCTCTCCTTACTGTTCAGCAGTTGCCGCAACAACAGGTGGCTTAACCTCTTTCACAATATCACGTTCCTTGTCACCAGGTACAACACCGTATCCATCTAAATCCATAGTGAAATCAGCAGATCCACCAGTCAACCCTCTTAAAACACTAGCATACCCCAGCATTTCAGATAATGGTACTCGCGCATCCACCATCCTGCTACTATTCTCACTACTTAAAGCAGCTTCACCACCCTCGTCTTCATCCTCATCCATTCTAGAATTTAAATCTATAATATTTGCTCGTTTCTGACCAGTCAGATTCTTGACTACAAGTCCAACTTTAGGTTCAGGTATTCGGATACGAGCTCTCATTATGGGTTCTAACAGTCTAGTTCCTGATGTTTGGAGAGCACGCTCCGTAGCCCGACGAGATGCTATTGTGATAGCCTGCAAGGTAGTCGTTTCAGCGGTATATAGAGTTAAAGAGTTTAATGTGATTTTGATATTCGTTACTGGATAGTTTGCTAACGGGCCACGATATAGTGCTTGATCAATACCACGTTGAATGGCATTCATCATATCCGGTATAGGTGGATACCCTGCTAACGATACTGCTCCATTCCCAGGTGGTGCGGATGCTGATATTAAAGTTGAGTTGTTTAACCTGATGCCCGTTTCAGTACCACCACCATCGTTCAAGTCGTGCAGCAATCCATCTTCAGACTCATTAACAAAGTCATTCAGCAGCTGAATATTTACAGATGCGCCAGCCTTGATTCGTTTACCATTAACTTCGTGATCAACGGTAATTTTGCCTTCGTGAATACCCGTATTGGACGGCATTTCACGATAACTGATACGGACTTTACCCATTCTACAATCGACTTTATATTGATCTCGTAAACGAGACTCGATGATTTCTAGATGCAATTCACCCATTCCTGATATGAGTGTTTGTTCGGTCTCCTCGTCCACTCTTACATGGACTGATGGATCTTCACGTAGCAGTGTTTTGAGTGCCTCCTGTAAATGCCGTTCTTCAGATGGAGTCGTGCCAGCAACAGAAGCTACGAATACTGGTGGTGGTATGGGTATAGTTGGTAGTATCGGTTTACGTTTATCGGCAAAAGATATCAGTGTATCTCCTGTTTTTGTGATACGAAGACCTACGATGGCAGCGATTTGTCCTGCCTCTACGTTTGGAATGTCTTCATAATCGTTGGCAAATACAGTCAAGATTTTCGAGGTCCGTTCCTTTTCATTCCGCGTTGAATTTAGCAGTGTCGTTTTTGTATCAAGGACACCAGAGTATACTCTTACAAATGTCAAGAGTCCACGTTTAGGATCTTGCATTATCTTGAATGCTAGTGCTACAGGTTGGCTGTCGTTCATTTTTACTTCCAGAGACTTGCCATTTGATGTGGCGATTGCTGCAGGTCGATCTACGGGAGACGGTAGATAGTCTAACACTGCATCCAGTACTGGTTGGACTCCAGTATTCTTGAATGCAGCACCACACAAGACTGGCACTGCTTTACCAGATATCGTGGCTCGTCTCAAAGCAGCCTGAATCACATCGGTTGCGATTTCAGTGCCCGAATCCATTGCGTCTAAATATACAGATAGAAAGGCCTCATCCACATCTGCTAGAGCTTCCAACATGTCGTTTCGAGCTTTCGATGCGTCCTTATAAAGTCTTTTGAACGGTTCTGTATCCGTGAGAGGACTGGTGTTGATGATACTACCAGTTCCATCCTTATTCCTGAAATCCAGCACCTTCATAGTCACTAGATCAGCTATGGAATACAACTCGGGTCCTCCACTAGCACTTCCAAACACTGCTGCTACATTATCGGGTACGACAGGCCACGACAAAATAATAGGCCTCCCACCACCTCCCAATCTCTTTTCCATGTGTCGTACCACACGATGAAGAGCAGATCCATCACGATCCATCTTATTTACAAAGGCAATTCGAGGTATTTTATATCGATTGGCTTGTCTCCATACAGTTTCAGTTTGAGCTTCGACACCAGCTACACCGTCTAGCACGACCACAGCGCCGTCCAAGACTCGTACAGATCGTTCTACTTCGACAGTGAAGTCGACGTGACCTGGAGTATCTATCAAGTTTATTCGATGTGACTTCCAAGCTAGTGGGATGCATGCTGACTGGATGGTGATGCCACGCTCACGTTCAGCAGGTAGGAAGTCTGTGACTGTAGATCCATCGTCCACATCTAAAAGAATGCGGTGATGAAGCTGGTAAGACTGGCTTTTTTTGCATGCAGAGATCAAGATCCATTTCGACATACTTCCTATACGCTTTGTATGACCTGCATAATAAAGCATACGTTCTGTCATGGTAGTTTTGCCAGCATCGATATGAGCTATGATGCCAATGTTACGAATCTTTGATGCTGGAACTAACAAATAAGGAAGCAAGATGTTGGTGTTTGAACGGTCATGATACATAGTGATCACGTCGACGGAAGTAGACAAAGACTTTGATTCTACATACCAGCAGTGGATTCCGTAGCAAATCCACGTCGAGACAGTATCAGAATGTGTTTGAGCCCATCATGACAAAAACACGTTGCCCTTAAGCTCCAGGTTATTCCTAGCATTCTGTAGCACGTTGTAACGCGATTCATAGTAAAATGGATGTGAAAACACGAATAACAAGTGATTATATGTTCGGAGAGCCTTGGTTGTCCATCGTCCTTTCACCGTTTTGAATCAAAAAACAAAATAGAGCATCGACAGTTAGCAAGCAGACAACCATGTCAGCGTCAGTAGCAGAGTACGTCCATATTATGGCATTGAAATCATCTACATTCTTACAATACTGAATATAAATAGAAACAATCCCATGGTCGATACACATGCTCCAAAAAGGAGACGAATTGAAGACGAAGGAGACGAGGAAGTTCCAACTCCGGATGTCGAAGCTAAAAAGGTAAACATTCATCATCATACCATCATTCTATCGTTTCCTCTCCTTCTCCTTTACGACTGTGCGTCATTGAAAACAGCCCAACATCAGACTCATCAAAACTTTGCCCCCTGTAGGAGGAATCAAATGGAAAACGACAACGGACTATGGGTCCTGCTGACCCAGAGACTAAACAGAGAAACTCCCGACTGTTTGGCGGTATATTGACTACTCTGAACAAGGCCAAGGCTGAAACTGCAAACAAGTCGAATGCTGTAAGTCTTGACTTGGGCTATCTTCAAATCGAGCATCAAGCTGGCTTATCTTTATGATGTTGATAATGATATACATGGTTAAAATTACATCACATGGAACTCACATCACACTATCGACTGTAGCAAATAAGGAGAGAAGAAGTCGAGAAAAAGTTACAAGAAAGGCTTCATCGTGAAAAAGAGGAATTGGAATCCAAAGTCAAGCAGGAGACTGAGGAGAGACGTGAAAAGATGGCTGCATCTAGAAAACATGAAGATGACAAGAGAGCCGCTACAGCCGTAAGTGCGCATGGCGGTGCTATTATATTATTTTTTGTGCATCAAGGTGGAAGCATACTGACAATCCACGCTTTTGCCTCCTTGTTTCTAGGCCAAACATATACAATCTCACAAACTAAACCTCACAAACTTTTTGAAAACAACAACTCAACCAACGATATACTATCTACCCGCAAAGCTCACTGACGAAGCAGCTGCCCAAATCGCAGAAGCCAAACGACAAGCAGCTCTGGATTCAATGAAGGTACCTGAACCAAATAATAATAACAGTATTAGCAATAGTACAAAGGGTGTGGGTTTGAGCATTGCTGGTGCTGCCTCTTCTTCCAGACCAACATCACCACCCAAAGATACAGCAGCATCAGCAGCAACCAATAACAAGGATGATGCTAATCGAGATGATATGGGTGCTGAGTTTGGAGGAGATGAGGACGCAACCATGGATTTGGGAATGTGATGGTTGTGTGAGAATGTGAGGGAGGAGTGGATGTCAGAGAGAGTTGTTTCAGTATGTGTTTTGTTTTTTTCCTTGTTCGAGTTGACGTTTCTTTAGGTTGCCGATAAATACTTGATTATTATTAGTCTGTTCAAGAAGAAGAACCAGACAATTGATGAAGTTTGTAAAACCTGTAATGATGTTTATATGCTTAAGAAGATCTTCAACAAGAAAATCCATTAGCTCAAAAAAGTTGGCTTTTGTGTGCGAAACATTACATCATCATTTCAAAGGAAAGTTCTTATGTTCTATTGTTACTATGAGGCAGATTAATATACAAGATAGCAATATTCTCACTTTGAGAGATTCTGAAGGGCACGAATCGCTCCATCAACCAACTCTCCGTCTACTCCATCCACCTCACGCAACCTCGGAGCACTCTCCACCAACTGATCTCTCAATGAATTCTTTATCGTACCTGGATACTTGGTTGCCAGTGTAGTCACCAGCTGCAACACCCGTTCAGCTAAATTGACATCCTGCGCAGTTTTTATAATGTCAACAAGAGACTCACAGATCCCTTCAGACACCACGTCTTGCGATACGAGTTTCCCAGCTATCTGATCCTTCTTGTCGTCTTCGGCAGATACATCTAATAGTGTGTTTAAGAGAAAGAGGATTCGTGTTTGGAGGGTGGTGTTGGTTTTGTTTTGGGGTTGGAGTGCTGCTTGCAGTATTTTGAATCCATTCAGTGAGCGGAATGATGATAGGGCTCGTGTGTTGTGGTTTAATAATCCTAGTGATATCGAGAGAATCCCAATCAGCTTTTTTCTTTTGCTCTGAACATGATTGGAGAACACCCCTACCAGCAATACAATATGCAGCCTTGGCTTTAACTTCAGCATCCGAATCTGATTCCAGAGCGTTCAATACAGGTGGCAGAGCATCTGAGTCCAAAAACTAGTCGAAATATTGGGGCGTTAGAATGGAGCACCACAAAAGAGCCTGACACACGTCGTACATCCGTCTGAGATCTTGCGTTGTTCTTGATAGCAGTCCCAAGTATCCAAACAGCATATTGCCGTATTTTAGGATCTGGATCAGATACAGTGGATATAATGGGCCTCCATAAATTCAGTGGTCGTAAATCTGATTGTCGCATGAGCAATGTATCGGATATCTCAAAAGCAAGAGCATAAATACCATTAGCGTTATCTAGAGACTCGACTAGTAGCTCTAGATCATCCATATTTGTGATTCTGTCATCAACGGAATTTGATGGATTTGAAAAGAATTCCACACATTCTAATGGTGAGAGTACATATCAAGTCGCGTTCAGGAGCTTGGCCAATACGATTCAACTTACCACGCATACGAATAGCATCACTCTTTCCAAGAATCAAGTCGATCCATTTTGGATCCTAGAAACCCAGAAGAAGTTCAAATGGTAGCTTCACCAAATGTCAGAGGCAAAAGCAACGGCAGCATGAAGGCCTTATACACCAAGAAGGCCGATGAATCATTCAATCTTCAAGATGGTCTCCTTTTCCAAACAGATCTGATCGAAAACCCTTGCCAACAACAATCAAGTGAAGCAATTTGCTTACTATTGGCTCGACATTCTGAGGTCCTGGACCAGGTGCATCTTCATTCTTTGTGGCTGTTTGGAGAACAGCCCACTGCAGTAACTCTGATGGTCCAATATGTCGTCCTTTGTCGCTCATCTCTAAGCTTTTGATAGTTGTTTTTTTGCAAATGACGCTACGCCTTCTTTTGCATTCTTTTTGAATCGAAACCGCCCTATATTAATAATATGGTGTCTTTTTATTTTGTAAACGGGGGCTATACTGCTTTTTCACACTACACTTGTGCACTACATTTGGAAGAAGATTATCACACACGCCCACTATCACGCTCAGACGTCTTGAAGGTCTTCCCACTCCTAATCGTATCCCAATTTCACTTATGATTTGCGATGGTTTCTGATATGGGCATTGAGATTATCGGTTCTTGTAAATCTTCCACGACAGTTTTTGTGTGGGCAGTTATATATCGTTGGATTGATGACGTGAAGAGCCACCTTGTGACGACGAACATCGTCTCTTCGGGTGAATGTGTCTGGACAGACATCACACTGGAATCTTCCTTTCTCTTGAGGACTTGGAAGACGAGGTTTCCGACCTCCTCGTCGTTTCCGAGACACATAAGTCGGTTCAGTATCCACCGCTCCAGCTGTATAGGTACCACAGTCCTCAGTCTTAATATGAGCTACGCTATCGACGCCTTGTTGTGGTTCGTGATAGTTCTATGAAAAGAGGGGTCAGCCTGTAGTGGTTCAGTTCCAAATACATCACTTACGATTGGCGTAAGTGTTGTGGGATTGACAATGGTGACTGGGTTAACGGTCAATTCAGGTGTCGTGAATTGCTCAGTCGTAGGGGCAATCAGTTGCAATCCCTGAGTTACAAGCGTAGCATATTGAGCAGAGACGACATCCTCCATGGATATGTTTGGTAGAGGCCAGTATCCCTCCATGCGGAGAAAAAGTTCCAGAAAAGCGGCGTTCTGAGAAAGGAGATCATAGTTGTTAGAAAATGTTCTTGTCCTAAAACATTGCAGACGACTTGCCTGGAAAAATTCGAAATAATCGGGACTGAAAGCGTTTTCTTGGACCAAAGAAATATCACCCTCGCTTGATTGCTGTTCATTAACCGCATGGTTAGTCAAAAGGCTAAGCGAACTGATGGTGTGTCGTTGGAACTTACGTATTGGAGGTTGGAAGGAAGTGACGATGATGCCCCCGTATCAGGAACATTCAGTCCAGAGCCTTGACATGGGGCTTCAGCATGGAAAGTAACACTACTGTTGGTTCCAATAGCCTGGGGTAGAAGAATGTTAGGTCTAGGGGTTGTGGTACGGGCGCCTACTGCGAAAAATAAGTCTTCAAATGCCTCGAACATACCATGGTAATTTTGATAAAGAGAGAAGCTGAACCGTCTAAAGTAACGATGATGTTTTGAATAAAATGTTTTCTTTGGCAAAGGAATGCTTGGATGACTTCACAGGGACCCAAAGCTCAAGTACCAAACATCCATCAGAACGGTCAAAGGCTACTTACCGAGGGGAAGCAAGCTAGCGAAGTAGATGCAGAAAGAAGCGGTAAAGCTTTTTGGAATCGCTTTAGGATTCGGCTGGCTTCGTCTGGGTGCTTTAGATGCGCTGGCGAAGACTCTACTAAGTAGGCAAGTGGTTTTTTGGAAGGTACGAAATTTTCGGGAGAGGAACAAGACCACTCGCTCCAGGACAACGCTCATAACAACCTCGTGTTCGAAACCGGACATCGCGTGTAAAATTAGGTTTAAAGTACATTTCTGGCCTCTATGCCTCGCTCTGTTTCAAAAGTGTTTGTGGCTGTTGTCCCTCACACCTTTCAGTTATTGCTCAAGTCTGGTGCTCTAGAGCAGACCACAAAACAAGCAATCAGAGTCTCATACGGTGTAATTTAGTCGGCAAGAAACATCGTTTGCTTCCTCTTAATTTCGAACATCTTCTCTCCTTCCTTCGCAATCCTACATCATTTGTCAAAATTTCAAAATGTTGACAGTTTGTACGAGTGCCAGTGGAATGTCCTGGGTATCCTTAGTCAAGATTTCTGCAAAATATCATCCGAAGGTAGTCCTTCCTGACTCTTTATACTGATTGTATGTCTCATTCGCAGGTCATCACACACATTTGCACATTTGTCGTCGGACTTGAATTGTGGACTTGTACCAATGCAATCTACGTGTTCAGGTCTTACATCAAGCATATACTTAGTCATATAAGGAACTCTGGCAGCACTTGAACCGTTTGAGTGTTTGAAACCAATGGTGTCCCAAGCTCTGCTGTATGGAAGGGTTTCCAAAGTCCCCGCAAACTCTTTGAAACGATTCGATATAAATTCCTCTCGGAGCTCCGTGGCATAACAACTTCACATATGGTCATGTAGAGTTCTTATATACGTGAGACCCTCTGCTCATTCTTACTACGATAATTTGGGCGTTGTATCCTCTTTTTCAATGAGTACTCACATCATTGTAACTCTGAAGGTCCAATATATCCCGTCTCGCTGTACTTTTGCGATTTCTGGATGTTTTGGAACTTTACGCAAACGCCTTATTAGCTGAAACTGCTGCCTGATGTTACTATTATGGTGTCAGTTTATTTAATATACCGGGCTATATCGTTGTTTTCACGCTACAGATTGTGCACTACGTTTGGAAGTCAATGAATTTTTTAACACACGCCCACTATCACGCCCAGACAACTGATGTGTCTACCCACTTCTGACAGATAGCATCACCATGGGAACTCATTGATGGTCCTTTCTGATATGGGCCTTGAGATTATCCATTCGTGTATAGCTTCGATGACAGCGTCTGTGTGGGCAATCATGTATCGTTGGTTTGGCGACGTGACGAGCCTCCTTGTGACGACGGACATCGTCTTTTCGGGTGAATGTGTCTGGACAGACATCGCACTGGAATCTTCCTTTGACTTGAGGACTTGGAAGACGAGGTTTCCGGCCTCCTCGTTGTTTCCGCGACACATAAGTCGGTTGATTATCCACCGCTCCAGCTGTTTGGATATAACAGTCTTTAGTCTTAATATGACCTACGATCGCGACGACTTGCTGTGATTTGTGATGGTCCTATGGAAAGGGGTGTCAGCTATATTGATTCAAGTTTCTCAAAGCCCTTTCTTTGCACTTACCAGCGTTAGCGTTGTAGGATTGCCAATGATAGACGGTCTGACAGCCGAGTCTGCTTTCGGGAATTGCTCAGTCGTCGAGCACTGGAGGGGGCTAGGGGTAACTGGTAGCAATCCCTGGTTTACAAGCGTAGCATGATGAGCGGAGACAAAATCCTCCATGGATATGTTTGAGAGAGGCCAATATTCTTCCATGCGAAGGTACAGCTCCAGAAAAGCGGCGTTCTGCAAAACGAGATCATGTTGGTTAGTAGACAATGTTCCTGTCTTGAAAACAAGCACACGACTTGCCAGGAAATATTCGAAATAACCGAAACTGAAACCGTTTTCGCCAATCAAAGCAGAGCTCCCGCTGAATTGCTATGTAGGAGCGCATGGTTAGTCAAAAAGGCTGCCAGGACTGATGGGGCGTTTTTAGAACGTACGTATTGGAGGTAGGAAGGAAGTGCCAGCGAATCAGCAACATTCAGTCCAGAGTCTTCACATAGCATTTTAACATCTGGAGGTGGTTCCAATAGCCTGGGGTAGGAGAATGTTAGGTCTAGGGGTTCTGGTGCAGGCGCCTACTGCAAACAACCAATTTGCGAACGTCTCGAACATACCATAGCGACTTTGGTAAAGAGGGAGGCTGCTACGTCTAATTTAGCGAAGATGGTTTGATTTAGGTCGTTTCTTTGCCAATGGAACGTTTAGATGGCTAGACACGAAGCTCGAAGACCAAACATCGAACAAGTCAATGATGAAAAGCTAGCTACTTACCGAAGGGAAGCTAACAAGCGAAGTAGAGAAGAAAGGAGCGGTACCGCTTCTTAGAATTGCTTGAAGATGCAGCTGGCTTTGTCTCAGTGTTTAGAAGCACTGTTGAAGCCTCTACCAAGTCGGCGAGTGGTTTTTGGAACATAGGAAATTTCAGGGGAGGAACAAATCCACTGGCTTCAGGATAACGTTTACAATAACTTTCGTGTTCGAAGCCTCTCAGTAAATGTAAAATTAGTTATAAAGTACATATCTGGTCTCTATACCTCATTCTGTTTCAAAAGTGTTTCTGGCCGTTGTTGCTTTATTGCTCCATAGTGTTTGGTCTGGTGCTCTACTACAGACCATAAAACAAGCAATCAGAGTCTCATACAGTGTAATTTAGTCGGCAAGAAACATCGTTTGCTTCCTCTTAATTTCTACGATATACTCTCCTTAGTTCGCAACCCTACATTCGTTTGGTCAAAATTTCAAAATGTTGACAGTTTGTACGAGTGCCAGTGGAATGTCCTGGGTATCCTTAGTCAAGATTTCTGCAAAATATCATCCGAAGGTAGTCCTTCCTGACTCTTTATACTGATTCTATGTCTCATTCGCAGGGCATCACACACATTTACACATTTGTCGTCGGACTTGAATTGTGGACTTGTACCAATGCAATCTACATGTTCAGGTCTTACATCAAGCATCTACTTAGTCATATAAGGAACTCTGGCAGCACTTCAACCCTTTGCGTGTTTGAAACCAATGGTGTCCCAATCCGTGTTGTCTGGAAGGGTTTCCAAACAGCCGCAAGCTCTATGAAATGTTTCGAGATAAATTCTTGTCAGATCTCCGTGACATTGACACTGTCACATATGGTCATAAGAGTTGATGCACGCTCTCAAGAAAGGACTCGAGACAGTCTTGGTATTGCTTACGCTTCCTTACGAAAGGACTTGAGACAGTCTTGGTATTGCTTACCCTTAGTCCGATACCCGTACCGTAGCATCTTCCTTTGAATGAGTGCTCCCATCACACTAACTCTGATGGTTCAAATATGACATCCTTTTCGGTCATTAAAGCACGCACTCGTTTGACTCGACGCTTTTGAATTTATTCGAACGATTTTCGGTTACGAATTATCGTGATATCTTTATATTTTGTAAAGGGGTTTATAGCACTTATTCACACTACACTTTGTCACTTTGATGGGGATATATTGATTCTGCACACGAAC